CCTCAAGAGGGTTTAGGGCTGTAGGGTTTGGGGCATAGGGTTTGGGACATAGGGTTTAGGGCCCAGAGTTTTTTTTCAAGGTTTTTCAGAGTTTTTCAGTGCTTTTCAAGGTTTTTCAATGTTTTTTCAGGGTGTTTCAGGGTTTTTAACCCTCAATTCTGATGAAGGGCCGCCCCCACGACCTTTTCACAGCCTAGTTTTGGTCAAGGGGGGGTCGTATTTTTCAATTTTAAAGGCAAAATAGTCTTCGGAGACCCCCCTTGCCTCAAACTCCGACCCCCCCTTGAGAGGGAAAGTTTGCCTCCAAAAACACCCCAAATGAGGGGGACCCCAGGATCGGCCCGGGTCCCAGTTAAAAATGCGATATTTTAGTACTGAAATCGACGGTTCTGGGTGGCCTCTCGTTTTCTGGATTTTTGACCAAAACCGAGCCTTCACCGGTTTCAAGATTTCCAAAGGTTCGTCAAGGTTTTTCAGATGTTCCCCCTTGAGAGGGAAAGTTTGCCTCCAAAACCACCCCAAATGAGGGGCCACCCCCCCCACCCCACCCTCCCCGGTTTGAGAATTAGATTTTGGGTTTTCGGCCAATTGGACCTTGAGCTTTAAGCCTACTGGGAATGTATTGAGTGGACTTTGTATTTTCTCAATGTTCTGGGTTTCTTGGGTGGGTGGGGTTTTATTCCAGCCCTTGACAAGCTGCTTGACTAGTGAATGCTCGGACTTGAGATGCTGAACCCTAAACCCTAAACCCTAAACCCTAGGAACCGGGGCCCTCGTTTTGCAGCCGTTTCAGGATAACGGCTGGAGCCTTCCACTGAACGCGGTCACATTGCCGCATAAAAGCCAGTGACCCAGCAACCACAAAGCATAAACAAAACCTGGAAGCAACAAAAACCGACTTCGAACCGTGATAGGCTTCTTGAGGCTTGTTAAAGCTACATTGGGTATAGTGGCATGCCGGACACTTGACCCAAAACCTAGTCGCCCTCATCTGTCGGCATATGTCGGAATCTCCAACCTCATCTGCAAAGTTCTCCCTGGCCTTCACCCAAGCACGAATACTTTTTCCTGAGGGACCAAACTAATGACATTCTTCCCAGGTTGGATAGGCATTGTGCCAAAAAGGTTGGATAAGCATTGTGCCGAAAGGACCGTGTGCACTGTGCTTGCCTGTTTACGCATGCTCGTACACTTGCTCGCCTGGAGTCCCGTCTGTTTCTGCCCTTGAAATTCATAAAACATTTCATTCTGGCCCAGGGTTTAGGGTTTAGGGTTTAGGGTTCCCCATGAACCTTGGAGTATTCAGAAGAAAAGTGGGATGAAAGCTGGTTTCAAGCAGAGGGCCGCTTCAACTGCTCCGCTTTGTCGCACGGCTCTGGTGAGGCCGCACTGATGGCCCTCTCCCTGTCAGGCTTGGGGGTTTAGGGTTTAGGGTTTAGGGTTTAAGGGATGTTCCCCCTTTTACTAACAGTCCTTAGTGGGGATCATAGTAGGGGGGTACTAGAACCCCTGTTAAGGACTGTTAGAGAAAGGGGGAACATGCCATGTTAGGGGCTTCGAGGGTGTGGCAGACATAGAGAACAAAACCAACCAGGTCGAGGTTGACTGAAGCACCAGTTTCCATGTCGGTGTGCTTTCATGCCTTTCCAAGTGCTTCTGTGTTCTATGCGGCGAGGTGAGGTCTCTTGCGCCGTCGCAATTGCTGTAAGAATTTCAGCAAAAGGCCTCGCAGATGCTCGCGATGGGCTGCGTCCTGGGCAAAGCGGAGCTTCGTGTGCAGAGCGACTGCGCACTGCACACAGAGCGTGTAGTTCTTCTACTTCCTGCACATCATGTCTGTGAGAAGGTGGGCTGAAGCGCAATGGCTCACTCTGAGTCAGGCTCCACCTCTCCGGGGGCTTGCCACATCTACAGGGGGCAGATTGCATTTCCAGGATCTACATCTGCACAGAGCACGCTGCGTCTCATCGCATCATTCAGAAGCCCCTCAAGATCGCTAGCCAACTGTGCCTTGCTCGTAAGGACGAAGGGACGAAGGTGGTGTGACAGCATTGGCTGCTTGATTTTCCCTGTCCGCTTGTGGTGGCATGGTGGCCTTGCTCATCGACAAACTCTCAAGTTCCGCACCAGCAATCTCATGCGCTTTCTGCAACTCTCTTGTCATCAAAACGTGTGTCAGTTCATGTGGCATGCCACGCTTACAGGATGCACAACTCACACAGAAGTCTTCACGCAGCGCACCTTGCAATGATTTTCCAGGGGCTGCTGCTCCAGAAATCCGCGATTCGGCTTGTGCCACGAGCCCGAGGTTGATGGAAGGCAAAGGGTATCAAAGAGCTTGATCCCATGCGGCAACGAAACCAAAGCAAGCATCGAAAGATTGCATCTGACACAACACAACCCTAAACCCCCTCAACCCTCAAAAATCCCGCAAGCCCCCTCAAAACTCCGCCAAACCCCCCTCAAAACGCCCAAAAACCCAAAACCCAAAACCCAAAACCCAAAACCCAAACATCTTCAGATTCTGAGCCCCCTGCCCTCGGGATGGCCTCGGGGCTGCCTGTGCCTTGCCATGTGTACCCTTGAAGCGTTGTGATATGCTGGGATGGCCTTTGAAGCCTCTAGAGATACTCTGGGGTTGGGCACTCCAGGGAGACTCTGGGGTTGGGCACTCCAGGGAGCTCTGGTTACTCTGGGGAGACACTCTGGGGTTCGGCACTCCAGGGAGACTCGGGGGTTGGGCACTCCAGGGAGACTCTGGGGTTGGGCGCTCCACGAACACTGGAGAGTTTTAGGGTTTAGGGTTGAGGGTTTGGGCACTCCAGGGACACTTTGGGGCACTCCAGGGATGAGCGAGGAGTAGACTCGGCGAGGAGAAGAGTTGAGCTTAAAATCTAACAACCCCACACCGAGGGTGGGGAGTAAGGACAATAAACATTTATCCCAAAAGCCAACCTAGTTTTGTACATTTGAAGGCTTATAAGGTTGTTTAAAGTTTGGGGATTTTGGGGGTTTAGGGGCTTTGGGATGTTTAGGATTTCGGATTTTACAGGTCACCTTCAACTGCCTAACACACACACACACATAGTAAAGATGACACCGGGAGCTCAACCCTCCTCTCATCCTGTGGCACTCTTCCCCTGGAGCGGGTCCAAGTGTTTTATTTCAATGGCGTGAGGCGGGGGCCAGGGCTCGCCGCTTACCGCATCGAAACTCAGAGCTCTGGCAGAAGTTCCTCTGAGATCGGCACAGGAGCCGATGGTCGAAGGCAGCTGTGTACTGAGGCTTGGGGGCCCGTTGAAACTCCATTGTTTATGGCTTTATGAGGAATATGTAAGGGCTTCAGGGTAATAAACATTCAGAATTCTGTTCAAACCTACGTCTGTGTAGCAACCTGGCACAGATCCGAAATCCGCCCAGAGTCGGTGCAAGTGCATGACTTGGCTGAGCAGCTGGCAGCCCACTTTCCCATCATTGCCCAGAAGGACACAGCGCAGAAGCACTCTGAGCCATCGGCTTGGTGAGGGCTGCAACACAGCGGACCGAGATGTTTTGCTCGCGGAATGTGTGTGTGCGTGTTGCTGGAGTTGGGATCCTTGACGAGGTCATGCAAACAAAGAGAAGCTGTCGTTCATGTTGCGTATGACATGTCCCACGGCTACAGTAAGACATAGAAAGGTGGTTGCTCAAACCGCTCACGACTTCGATCGCCTGGAGCCTGTCGAGAAAAGGGACGCACTGGCACGGCGCCCGGAGATCAGGTGGGCAATCGTGGCATTGTAGAACTTGGGGGCTTAGGGTTTTACAGTAGACGTTAAGATTTGAGGGTTTGACATAAAGCAGACCTTGCAGTGTTAAGCATTCGGGGTTCATGGTTTCACAGCACCTTCCCAAGCACTTGCAGTCTTCGGTGGCGTCTCAACGGAGCAACGTCGCCACTAATAACTCTACAGCCTAGAACTGGACTCTTTTTGCATTCGGGCTTGGTTCGTCGGACCCCTTTTTCTAAACCCTAAACCCTGAACTTTAAACCCAAAACCCAAAACCCTGAACCCTATAATCACCGCGGCAAGGCATCAAGCTGAAGTCTCAAAGGCACCCATACCCAAACCCTCAAGGCCCTTGAGCCCCTCGACCCTCAAACCTTGACAACATGCAGCCCGCTTAAACCCTCCTGAACAGTGTTCAGGGTTCAGGGTTCAGGGTTTAGGGTCTAAACCCTAAGCCCTATAAAGCCTAAACTCTAAACTCTAAACCCCTCCACCTCCCCATGCACCCCAAAGCAAGCTGAAGTCTGTCTTTCTTCACCACTGCACCTTCCTCTCCGTGCGCCGAGCTCGAAGGCAAGTCAGCAGGGGGAGGTTGAGGTTTAGGGTTTAGAGTTTAGGGTTTAGGGTTTAGGGTTTAGGGCTAAGTCGCTCGATCACAAGCTAGGCGAGGCACGCGCGCTCCAGGGTATAGGGGTTGAGGGTGCTGTTTGATGGACTTTGGCTGTCGGAAGTCTGTGGACTTCAAGCTAGGATGGCGCTTAAAACCCTCTGAATACTCTTCTTGAAATATGATCCTCTTAAACCTAATAAACGGATAATATGAAACTATGGCCCAACAAAGCCTGCTCCACAAGCCGCACCATGAAGCACTGTAGGGTTTAGGGTTTAGGGTTTAGGGTCTAGGGTCTAGGGTCTAGGGTTTAGGGTTTAGGGTTTAGGGTTCAGATCCCAGAGGCTACAGTATCTTTTTTACCACCCAGCACTCGCACACCGCGAGGGATACTTCAGCCTACAGTATCAGGGTTCAGGGATACATCCCTAGACTGCCCTAGGGCCCTAAGAAGGCCATCAAATAAACCAACCACGAACACTAAACCCTAAACCCTAAACCCTAAACCCTAAACCCTAAACCCTAAACCCGAAACCCTAAACCCTAAACCCTAAACCCTAAACCCCAAACCCTAAACCCCAAACCCTAAACCCCAGAGGCCCCTCCAGAAGCCTCACACATCATGAGGGCGGACCCAAGAAATCAAGGTGAGGCAGCCTCAGCAGTGGAGGATTCAGGGGTTTAGGGGTTAGGGTTTAGGGTTTCGGGTTTGGCACGCGCTCTCGGCTAGCGACCCTAGGGTTTAGGGTTTAGGGTTTAGGGTTTTGGGGTTTAGGGTTTAGGGTTTAGGGTTTCGAGTTTAGAGTTTAGGGTACGGCACCCCAGACCATACTTGAGGATTCATAGTTGTAAGCAGGGTTTTGTGTAAAGTAACCTATATGATATCCTCAACTAGGGCACTGAGAACCCTACTTCGAGCTACACATGAGCCTTCAAGTCAGGGGCAGACGAAGTTTTTTAATATCCCAAAGGGCCTACCAAGAACCCTTAATCCCTAATCCCTAATCCCTAATCCCTAATCCCTAAACCCTAAACCCTAAACCCTAAACCCTAAACCCCAAACCAGACAATCATGAAACCATCCTGGTGGCTTCTGCAGCTGCTCGTCCACAGGCGCACCTTTGCCGCAGATCGTCCGCGGAGCGCCGTTGAAGAAGTCGCAAGACCGAGATCCTGCTTGGGTTGCCCTAAACCCTAAACCCTAAACCCTAAACCCTAAACCCTAAACCCTAAACCCTAAACCCTAAACCCTAAACCCTGACGGGTTTCTCGCAGTCAGGGGCTTGTTGCGACTGGGGGCGCAAGCAGTCTTTTGGAGGGATGGGCTTTCTTCCGGCAGAGCTACCCCTGAACCCTGAAGCTTCAGACCCCCCGTCCGAAGCGGCCCTGAATAAACCTTAAAGCCGAAGGTCTGAACCCCCAAAATCCTGAACCCTACATTCTTACAGGGTTCTTAATGGAGGGGGGTTCATGGGGGGTAGGTACCTGGGGAACCTTACATACCCCCCCTTGAACCCCTCTCCCTTAAGAACCCTAAACCCTAAACCCTAAACCCTAAACCCGTGAAGAAAGCCCAGTCTTGTCAGGAAGAACTTGTGCGCGGTGGATCCCAGCGGCCAGCCACGGAAGGAAAGGGAGCACAGCGGGATTCCCCGCTTCACGGTCCTTTTTGCTAAGGAGCCCTCGTCGTAGCTTCCTGGGTTTCAGGCTTGCATTGGGTTTGGGGACGTTGAGGGTTGACAAAACTTACGACTTGAGGGCATCTATGCAAATTAGTTTCTGCACGGAGAAGGAAGCCCCGAATAGACTCAGGTGGTTTTGGGGTCCTGTTGGAGACATTTCAGCTTCCTGAAATCATACTGTTCAATTGTTCTCAGGCCCCCTCAACGGCTCAAAGCCCAAACCCCCTAAACCCTAAACCCTAAACCCTAAACCCTAAACCCTGCCAACTCCCCAAGTCCCCTAAGCTCTGCCGCGCCACCGTGCTGGAACCATGGGGGATACGCGACCGGACCATCAGCACCCGGCTCGAAAAACCGCAGCAGGTGGCGTGGGACCACCTGCGAGTGGGGGGGGGGGGGGGGACTGGGGACGGGTGGAAGGTGCTAAGGTTCATGGTTTCATTGCTAAGGGTGTGGGGTCCGGCCCCAGAGAATGAAGTTCTGAAAGATCGAGTTTGTAGGGTTTAGGGTCTACGGCTTCAGGGTCGCAGAAAGCCGTAGGCAGGGGAAGGTGCTGCCTGAACCATGTCGTCCAGCATCATGCCCACCTGAGCGACATGCCACCCCAGCCCAGTTCTCATCGTTTCTAAGCTCGGGGAAGTCGTATCTCATTCGGAAAAGTATGGCCCTCAAAGTGTTGTTCGGCACCTGTGTCCGGATGCCCTCTCCGACACAGCCGTCGCAGGGGCTGATGGAGTGCATGTCGTTGGTCACCCCGGACCTCGGGGAGGGTTGTTGAGGCTTTTAGGGCGTAGGCAAGGGTAAGGACAGCACGGCTTTGGAGTTGCGCTTAAGACGAGGGCCACAGAAGCTAGTGCATGCTTGTGGGTGGAACACTTGCTGCTCGGATGCTAGGCTCTGTCTTGCAGGAGTAGGTAGCAACCATGTCGGGTTTGGGTACAGGCCTGCCTGACACAGACTTATCGCGCCCAATAACTTGAAAGATCGTGAACAATGCCAAGGACAGGAAGAATCAGCACCCCAAAACATCCCCCCCCCCCTGCATCTTGACCCTGAGGCCTCCAGCCACGAAGCGGCTTCCATTACAGGCTTTGGGATTTTGGGGATTTAGGGTTTTCGGGTTTAGGGTTTGAGGTGTTGGGCTTGGACCCATCGTGGTTGCTTGCCCGAGCATCGAGTCTGAGAGTTTACAGCCTGGTTGGACAGAGCAGCACTCGTCGCTCTAGAGGTTCTTTGTCGTGGTTGTTTACCTTTGTCTTTTTTGTATTTGTCAGTTTTTGCGGCTATAAACTGTCTGATAAAATAATCTGCGGTGGTGGATTGAGCTATTTTACGGTCTTCATAGAAGTTGATTAGATTTCGTATTTTGGTTCTGGTGCCTTGATTTAAGCGATTTTTGTAGTTGTCGTAGGTTGTTTGTAGTGCTCTCGTGTTACGCTGAATATTTTTGCTCATATACTTATGCTACGCCAAGCGCAAGGAAGACGAACAGCTTATGCAAAAGGAGCGCGAAGCAAGTTTAAAACACAACCAAAAGAAGAAACTTAGGGAATACATAGAAGAGAATAATTCAAGTGAAGAAGACTTGACACCTAATATCAGATGGATTTGCCTTTTAAAAACGATTTGAAAGAACAAAGTTTAAGGTAGGGGTGTTGATGATTGATGCATTTGAAAAGTTTGTGCATTTAGTGCCGATAAAAAGCAAACAAGAAGGAGACGTAGCCAATGGAATGATTGCGTGTTTAAACAAGATGGGTGAGAAACTAAACTAATCTATACAGATGATGAAGGCTCATTGAACAAGGAGGCAAAACAGAAGTATTGGAAGGATGAGCACATCGAACATCACCGAACGAGGGCGCACCCACATTTTCGTGAAAGAGCCATCCGCACTTTTAAAGATATGTTATATATGCAGGTTGAAGCAGATGAAAGAAAAGGAGAACATAACATCCAATGAACAGATTACATCTTAGAAATATTATTAGCAATAATCAAATGAAGCACTCGGCAACGGGATTTACACCAAAAGAAGCCCGAAAACCAGTAATCAGTTCAACGTGAAATTACATTTAACGATGAAGGGAAGGGAAAGAAGAACCGCCTCTACCCCGAGTTAACTGTAGGGGACGAAGTTAAACTATTTCGGAAGCGAAAACCGAATGAAAAAGAAAGGGTGAGCTGGTCTCAGAATATTTATACAATAGAAATTTGAAGAAAACCGAATGAAAAAGAAAGGGTGAGCTGGTCTCAGAATAATTATACAGTAGAAATTTGAATATAGAATAGGTCAAAACTAATATAGAGTTGAAGGTCTTGATAGGAACTATCTGAGATTTGAACTGCTGAAGGTTTGAGCGAAATCACTCCCTAGTGTGCATGGCCAGCTGTTGGGCACATCTCACATCCCATGACAGTCGCCAAACCAGACGAGCTGACCATCTGTTCGCACTGCGCTTCTGTGAACTTGGCCATCTAAGAAAGCCAAAGCTGGTCCCGAATATTCTGGCACGTTACGCTGCCCAGATCCGGTCTCTCCAAGGTCATCTGCCTGCACTGCACAAGTGTAAAAATCGCCCGCTGAGACTGCCCTAACTGGTCCCAAACCTGCTGGCACGTCACACTGCCCATAGCTGTTGTCTCCAAAGCAGACGAGCTGACCATCTGCCCACACTGCGCAAGAGTGAAAATTGCCCACTGAGATTGCCCAAACTGGTCCCAAATCTGCTGGCACGTCACACTGCCCAGAGCTGTTGTCTCCGAAGCAGACGAGCTGACCATCTGCCCGCACCGCGCAAGTGTGAAAATTGCCCGCTGAGACTGCCAAAACTGGTCCCAAATCTGCAGGCACGTCACATTGCCCAGATCCGTTCTCTCCAAAGCAGACGAGCTGACCATCTGCCCGCACTGCACACGTGTGAAAATTGCCCGCTGAGACTGCCAAAACTGGTCCCAAATCTGCAGGCACGTCACACTGCCCAGAGCTGTTGTCTCCGAAGCAAACGAGCTGACCATCTGCCCGCAGTGCGCAAGTGTGATCATAGCCCGCTGAGACTGCCAAAACTGGTCTCGAATCTTCTGGCACGTCACACTGCCCAGATCCGTTCTTTCCAAAGCAGACGAGCTGACCATCTGCCCGCACTGCACACGCGTGAAAACTGCCCGTTGAGACTGCCAAAACTGGTCCCAAATCTGCAGGCACGTCACACTGCCCAGAGCTGTTGTCTCCGAAGCATGCGAGCTGACCATCTCTCCGCACCGCACAAGTATGAAAATTGCCCGCTGAGACTTCCCAAAGTCCCACATCTGCTGTCGAATGAAGTTGCGCATGTTCGCTGGATACACCGCAGGCTGACACGTCCTTCTTCATTGTAGAATGGCTGGAAATTTGAGCATGTCCGAAACGTGGTGATAATGCCGAAGTCCGAGTCAGTCTGTGAATACAGCTGGAAAAGCACCCGACACGTTGAGGCTGTGGCCGCGTGCAGCGTGAGTGACCTCGAGTGGGAACGCACCAGGAGCCAGGACGGATTGCGAGAAACGATTGGACTGCAGTCCTCTGCGTCCACAAGAGCGTGGCGAGTGCCAGTCCAGCTTTCATGGCCATTAATTGATGGCTGTAGGAAGCAATGCTGCAGGGAGGGCGAGGTTGAAGCCGAAAGACGGGAATCTAGACAAGTAGGTCAGGGGTTATGCGTGGTTCCATAGTATGGGTTTTCATCCTAGGGGTCTTCCTATGAAATATTGGGTTCATGCTATGGGTCTTTTGGTGGGTTGGAGGTCGAGGTACGTACAGGTTGTTATGAAATATTGCCATAGTGATATGGGTCTTCTGATGGGTTGGAGGTTGAGGTATAGGTTGTTTTGTTATGATTTGGGAGGGGGTGGGGCATGGTTAGAAAATGGAAACGGTATTTGCCAACGTATCCCTAAATCCTAAACCCGAAACCCTAGACCCTTAAACCCTAAACCCCAAACCCTAAACCCTAAAACCCCAAACCTTAAGCCTGAAGCCTCAAGCCTGAAGCCTAAACCGTGCCACGGAGCATGCCACGGGTGCCCCGGAAGCGCACCATGACGCAACCTGGCAAATGGACGGGTTTAGGGTTTAGGGTTTAGGGTTTAGGGTTTAGGGTTTAGGGTTAGGGATTTAGGATTTAGGGTTTAGGGGTTCAGAGTTTTGGGTTTCGATGTTTACGGTTTAGGGCGGACATGGTGGGCCTGCAATGGACAAACTGGACTGTGCTTTGAGTCTGTACATTATGTGTATTATGGTTTTGGCTTCGGGCTTTTTAGGGGTTTGCCGAAGCTTCTTGGAACGATCTCTGCGCATACCATGAATTTCTACCCGACGCCCAAGAGCCAAAGACAGCAGCTGGAGGCCCCAAACCCTAAACCCTAAACCCTAAACCCTAAAACAGGCGTCCCCATGGTACACTCCTATCCTGGTCAGAGCCGTGGAGGCACGACCCGACGCCGCGCTTAGGGTTTAGGGGTGGGGTTTAGGGTTTAGGGTGTGCTTAGGGTTTAGGGGGGTTTGGGGTTTAGGGCTTCGGGTGTGCTTAGGGTTTAGGGGGTTTGGGGTTTAGGGTGTGCTTAGGGTTTAGGGGGTTTGGGGGTTTAGGGCCTAGGGTTGGGTTGAGAGTGCAAATGCCCTGAGACCCTCTCAAACTTGGCGACCAGCAAGGTCTTTATCCCGCTCGCGTCTTCCTCCCTGGTGCAGAAGCTGGTCATCTGGTTTGGGAGACACAATGGGGACCTCAGCATCTCCTGTTGGCTCCAATTTCCCAAATTCCCCTACAAGCCCCCCTGGCGCCGCACTCTTGAGCTGGATCACTGGGCACCCCTTTGGGGGATTGGGGTCTCTGGCAGGTGTGCACGTCCCATCACGTTCCGTGGTTTGAGCCGACTAACCCTAAACCCTATAAACCCTATAAGCCCTATCAACCCTATAAACTCTAGAAACCCTATAAACCCTATAAAGCCTATAAACCCTATAAAACCCTATAAACCCTGTAAAACCCGATAAAACCCTATAAAACCCTATCAACCCTAAAGCATCAGAAGCCCCGACAGAGCTCCGACCCCCGCCTTGTGGCGCCGTCGGCCGCGGGAGCGCCTTCGTGAGATTCGGCGCGTCCGTGAGCGCCTCACACTGGCGACGGAAAGGACGGGGATTTGGGGTTTGGGGTCTGCTGTAAGGATTGCGAGTTTGGGGCTTCAAGGTTTACGGGTTTGGGGTTTCTCAAGGTTTTGAGGTTACGGGTTTGGGGTTTCAAGGTTTTGAGGGTCTGGCTTTCGGTCTAGGGCCTGGAAGAGAAGAAGCGATTCGAAGCTATGGGGCCTCCCATACTGCCGGGCTACTCCTCGCACCCAGTGAGAACCCAAGGCGCCAGGAAGGTCTCACGGAGCCGGAAGAAGATGGAGTAGCGGGCGCCGCCACATCGGTCCTGCTGGGGTTTAGGGCTTAGGGTTTTGGCAATATTCGCCGGGCACGGTGCCGCTAGCCACCGCATGCGGGCCTGTGACCTAACCTCCCCTACAACATCGATCGTCCTCAAACCTACAAATCTCAGATCCTAACTAACTCGCTACACCACTCCCCGCCCCCCACCCTAAACCCAAATTCAACAATGCTCCCCCGGCAACCCTAAACCCTAAACCCTAAACCCTCCACCGGACAGCCCACCCGCGCGCCTCGCGCACGCGCACGCGCCGCAGGCAGCCCGCCATGCGCTGCCACTGGCTTCGGGACGAGAAGGCCCAGGCCTGGAATCTGGAGGCGCTTTGAGTTCAAGGTGCAGGGCTTCCCTAAAGTTCCGCAAGAGCGGCTCCCAAAATTCGAAGAACACGTGCTGCATAGAAATAGGAACCCTAAACCCTAAACCCTAAACCCTTAACCCTTTTTTGCATCCGGACTTCTGTAGGTGCTGCCAGAAACTGCCCAAGCACAGGCTTCCAGTGCTACTTAAGACCCTAAACCCTAAACCCTAAACCCTAAGCCCTAAGCCCTAAGCCCTAAACCCTAAACCCTAAGCCCTAAACCCTGAACCCTGAACCCTGAACCCTAGCTGGAAAACAACCCTGAGTCCGGCCTCCGTGATGTTCTCCTCCCGGAGGATCTCGGGGGAGAGAGCGCTGAAGCACAGGAAATAATCAACCTCTGGAGGACATCTGGCTTGCATCGTAGAACATGTTTTTTTGTTTTTTTTGTGTTTCTCTCTCTCTCTCTTACTACTAATAAGTATAAGACACCAAGGAAAATGCTTATTGGTGATAGAATAACACTATTAACAATGATAACAAACATAGTAACAATGACACTAGCCATTAGCACAATGATCACAATGATCACAATGATCAAAATCACAACAATAACAACAATCACAACAGCAACAACAGCAACCATCATAACAATGAAAAGAAAATATCAATAACAACAACGATATCAACAAAACGACAACAACAGCAACAAGAATAACAATAATAACAATAACAACAGCGAGGACCCTGATGACGCAAACCAATAATACTGACACAAATTGATCATAAGCCAAAAGGCAGATGCTAGTCGGAAGATCACCCATCTGAATATAGTATCGAATACTCGTGATCCTCACTCGAAGTCTTTCGGATTCTTTGCGTTGGGATCCTAAACCCTAAACCCTATACCCTAAATCCTAAACCCTAAACCCCAACTCTTTCGGGGCCAGTCCCGACTTCCAATGGGGCGAGAACCCTCATTCAACCTCAGTAAACGATGGTTTGCTCTTGCAATGTTCCCCCGTATACTAAGAGTCCTTAATAGGGGTTTAGGGTTTAGGGTTTGGGGTTTAGGGTACTATGATCCCGATTCAGGACTGTTGGTGTAAGGGGGACATCCCAAGTTTGCTCTTTCTTATAGGGTTTGTCTTCTTTGTGAGTTGGAGGTGGCGATTCAGCGTGTAGGCGCAGGTCTCCAGGGGCCAAGGACGAAGATGGGGCGGGGAGGCCTTGGGGATTGAGGAAAGAAGAGGAAGGTTCGGGTTTAGGGTTTGAGGTTTTTAGGGTTCAGGGCCTCAGGGTCTTGTTGCAAAGAATGTGTGGCCCAGCTGTCAACACCCCAAGCTAAGCCACGCGACTCCCAACCCCTCAGAACCCTAAGCAAGCAGCTAAGCACCATGAACCCCAAAACATCCTTTTCTGAACCCAGACTCAGACATAACCCAAACCCAAACCATCCTAAACCCAAAAACCCTAAGACCGTTTCTGCATCCAGGCCTCTAATCCTAAGATTTTCAACCCCAGACTCAGACATAACCCCCTCAACCATCCTAAACCCTAAAATCCGAAGACCTTCAACTCCTGAAATACCGAAACCGAGGCCCTGCCTCCCAACCGCGTGCGCGAATCACATCCAGCACATGGCGCCTGCGCTCCATCAGATGGGTACCAGGTTTCTTTAAGTCTTGAGGATGTTTGAGGTGTTCAGGGTCCAAGGCTTCGATTTCAGAGTCTAGAACCCTGATTTTCAGCCTAGGCCCTAAACCCTAAACCCTAAGGTCCCGCATAAGGGTCCCTCCTTTAGTCCCTTGCCTAAACCTAGACCCAAAACAGAAGGCTTAGTGTCGAGTCCTAGGGGCGGGATCTCGCAATTCGGCTCTCGCACTCGCATGCGGCAAGCAACTGGGGGTTTGGGATTCAGGCATGGGACCCGGGGCCTATGGGAGCTAGAGTAATTAAGGACTTGTTTGCGCAGGGTTAGGGATTCAGAAACTCTCATGACCACGCGGACTGAAAACCCTACTTTCTTACTGCACAACCATTTTCGGGTCGGTTTAGAGTTTAGGGTTATAAGGGAGCCTAAACCCCCCAAAAAGGAAACAAGGGCTTAGGGTTGAAGGCTATAAGGGACCCTGAGCCCCCCTTTAAAAGGGAATAAGGCCACTCCTGGGCATAGGGGTCCCTAAACCCTAAACCCTAAACCCTAGACCCTAAACCTTAAACCCTAGAGCCTAAACCCTAAACCCTAAACCCTAAACCCTAAACCCTAAACCCTAAACCCTAAACCCTAAACCCTAAACCCCTGCACCCTAAACCCTAAACCCTCCAAACACGCTAATTAGGCATCCTCGGGGATTTTCAGGGAATCTCAGAAGCCTGTGCAAGTCGAAGACGGTCGCCGTGGAGGGCAGCTGGAGCTTTGCCAGGTGCCGGGCGACGTCCTTCTCTGAGGTGTTTGAAGGGGGTTTAGGGTTTAGGGTTTAGGGTTTAGGGTTTAGGTTTTAGAGCTTAGGGTTTAGGGTTGGGGGTTTAGGGTTTAGGGTTTGGGGTTTGGGGTTTGGGGTTTGGGGTTTGGGGAGTTTGGGGTTTGGGGTTTGGGGTTTTGGGTTTAGGGTTTGGGGCTTGAATTGCGGCTGCTTTTAGGTCTGGTTCTGGACCCTCAAACCCCTTTTTTCACATCCTAAACCCTAAACCCTAAGCATAAAATCCCTAAAACCTATGACGTTTCCGGATTACACGGGGTTCAGGGCTTCGGGCTTAGAGTTTGGTTTTAGCACGGGGCACTCCACGAAGGCACTCGGCCGATTTCTTCGTGGAGTGCTCTCCCCACTTGCAGGTTCATGGGGAGTTACCAGTAGGGTGACATGTGATATGTGCCCTGAGGAAGGAAATCATATGAGCTCCCTAAACCCTAAACCCTAAACCCTAAACCCTAAACCCTAAACCCTAAACTCTAAACCCTAAACCACCTTACTTGCAACCCTACTTGTAACTACCGCTCCCAAGAACTTGAACCAGAGCCATCGACTCGTGCCTGTCTTCTAGGGTTTAGGGTTTAGGGATTAGGGTTTTGGGAGGTTTAGGGTTTAGGGTTTAGGGTTTAGGGTTTAGGGTTTAGGGTTTAGGGTTCAGGGTTTAGGGTTTAGGGTTTAGGGTTTAGGGTTTTGGGAGGCTTCAGGCAGTGTTGCGCCTGGGTGGGAGCCGGACAGAGATACGCCTCTACTTGGCTTTCACTTGGGCTGTTCCCTGATACTAACAGTCCATAATAGGGAATATGATACTAACAAGGATTGCTAGTATAAGGGTGAACATCCCAACCTTTCACCCTAAGCCCTAAACCTCACCAGTCTCCGTGCTTGCTCCTTGTACCAAACAGCGCTCCACATGCAAGCCTCCTGCCCCTTATTCTAAGAAGGCCACTTGTGCAGACATAAATCCCCCCCCCCCCCCCCAAAGGGTCTAAGGTTCAGGCCCTGAAACCCCCAAAATTCCTGCCGCTGCTTGGCGTTCGACTTCGCTGTATTGAACCAATCCAGCACAGGCCGTGACCAGTTGCCCCGCAAGAGGCCCGCATTTCTTGGCAGGGTGGGGTGGAAGGGTTTAGGGTTTACGGTTTTTTTTGCCACCCGACTAGCCACAGCAATGCGGGGTATATTGGTCGGAGAAGGGAAAATTAACACCCAAGCAGCTTAAACCCGCATGGGATATCGCCATACTGGCATTCAGGATAGGAAATTGGCGGTTTGGGTACGCTCAGGAGGGGAACATCCACAATGACACCATAACTCTCACCATAAGCCTTTAGGGCTTAGGGTTTAGGGTTTAGGTTAAACTCTAAACCCTAAGCCCGAATGTAGGACCCAACAAAAAGTGTCTGGGATTCGCCATTCGTAGGAAAGTGTAAACGGTGCTTGTGCCAAGGCTGTCAGTATGCGAGGAAGGAGAGGCTGTGATGTTTGTGTAATGGTAAGAATCCAGCGAGAATATTCCTAGTTCTCAACTATGGAAGTCTCAACGTGCATGCATGGGATCTCGATGCAGAATTTGTGCAAGGACCCACACTGTGGTTTGCATGTGACCTTTGTGTACTTGTTCTAACCCTAAACCCTAAACCCTAAACCCTAAACCCTAAACCCTAAACCCCAAACCCTAAATAGCCTCCACCAAGCCTAAGTCACTTGACAACAAAGAGAGAAACTCCACGCCCTAAAGCCCTAAACCCTAAACCCTAAACCCTAAATCCTCTCAACCCTGAGGCTTGCTTTGCATCCGGGCTGCAGGACCGCGACACGGACTTTGCCAGTGTCAACCTTCGGTTTAGGGTTTAGGGTTTAGGGTTTAGGGTTTAGGGGCAGCTTAGGAGCTCGGGATTTTGTAGGGCTGGGTGTTTGTAGGGCAAGGCTAAGGGGTCGAGAACGTGGGAGGGGTTTCCAAATCCACGGCAATGCCTCAGAAGCACAAATACATATTTCTGTCTGTCTGCCTGCTGTGTCAGTAGTCTATCCCTTCGTTGTCTGTATGATCTCATTCTTCGGATATCATTCATATCTTCCTCCTGCAAATGCCGAGCAACTACTCTCAACCCCAAATCCTCGGAACGTTGAAGTCGCAACACCCTCAACCCACTTACACGACGCCTGAACCTTCCAAACCTTGCTTCAAGGTTCATGGGTAGTTGTAAGTAGGACCATAAGTACCTTTTTGACAGCTGTGATACACGTTGCCTGAGACATCACCCTACTTCTAGCAGCCCATGAACCTTACATAGACCCCACACCGGTTCCCCGCAGCTCCTGCTAAGGGGCTTGGGGGCATGGACGGCTAACGTGTGCGAGGTCCACATCGTCAGGCCCAGTCGGAAGTAGGCACTCGGTGCACGCCTAGTGGCGGCGTGGCGCGTGTTAGGGCTTGGTGTTCACGATCTTGCTTTTTAGGGGTTTAGGATTGAAGTGCCGTTTCTGCGGTACTCTTATACGGAACCCTGTGCCCGCCATAAGAGTCTTGACTTCTCGGTGTGCACCATCAGACGAAACTCACAACCTATCCCCTCTAAACCCTAAACCCTAAAACCTAGCCCTAAACCCTAAACCCTACCTAGCTGAGTTGGCAGCATCCTCGGGAACTCAAGGTTAACCCTTGGGATTAGGCACGAGCAGCAAAGTGCGAAGGTGGGCTGCGAGATATGCTTTTAGGGCCTGTTTAGGGTTTAGGGTTCAGTCAGGAAATGACCTAAACCATCGAAACTGTCCACAACCCGAGGCCTAAGCCTCCACCTCCTCCTCCTCCTCCTCCTCCTCCTCATTCCTATGCTTATCCAGAGCACGTTCTAGAGCAGTTCCTGCAGCTAGAGCAGAAGTGTCAATGCACTTCAAGCCCCTCCCCTACTTTGCTCAAGACCAGCCCCCCCCGGCGTCGCCTGGCGTGCAGGATCCCAGCAACAGGGCGCGCCATGGACGTAGGGGCAGGGTGCGCCCCGTTGTGGCGAGGCGAGCCAGGCCTTCGGCAGATGGGTTTGATAGGAATTTGAGTTGTGTAGTGAAGTATTACTCAGCAAGCCTTGAAAGGATTTATGGCCTTAAGGGCGGAGGGATTTTGAAGGGGGGGGGGGGGGTTGGTGTATTGAGTGGCTTTATGCAAGGGCTTGGGTGTCTGCGCGTGCTGAACTGCAAGGGGGTGATGGAAGCTCGGAACTTGGCCGCTTAATGTGTGTAAAGAGACAGTAAAGAGACGAAGAGTCTGAATGCCAAGAACGTGTATGAATGAATGACTGAGAAGCAAAACGGGAGTTCTAGGTGCCGTGTGTTTGCATAAAACGTGGTTTGGGAACTAAGCACAAAAACCAACCGTCCCGTTGAGAGCAATTGCTACGATGTGAGGAACGAGGTCGAGTGACTTCGATTCGCCGTTCTTTAGGGTTTAGGGTTTAGGGTTTAGAGTTTAAGATGACAAGTACTTCATTTGCAGGGAAGCTCATTTCAAGGTAGTAAGTGGGAGAAGGACCCATTAAAGACATGTGTTACGTGTGAAAGCCTTATTGCAAACCCGTAAACGAAACTATGAGTGCCCTGAATCACAGGCAGAAGAATATGGCCTTTCCATACCTCGAAGGATGATTACAATGAACAGCCAACAAAAAAACAAAACTGCAGATACAAAAACCATCAAGGAGCATGCCTTATTTGAACCGAAGTAAACTGAGCGAAGTGTAACACATGGGCTTGTAGATTGCGGCCGCCTGCAGCTTCAAAGGGGGGAAAACTTGTCTGTGGGAGTCTAGGTTCAGGGCCTATATTTGCAGGTTCATGGGTAGGTATAAGTAAGGTATCATAACTTATAACCTTAACTCGGGTATTTATACCCCCTCTTACAACTACCCATGAACCTTCAAATAAGGTCTTGGTGCGTGTGGTAAGTGGGCGCAGGTCTCGCGCAAGGGGCCCCCAACCCAAGTCCAGAGCCCTCCCTAAACCCCAAACCCCAAACCCTAAACCCCAAACCCTAAACCCTAAACCCTAAACCCCAAACCCTAAACCCTAAACACTAAACCCTAAACCCCCTACCCTCCGAGACTCCGAAAGGTCCGAGACCCTAAGCCCTAAGCCCTGAACCCTCATTTGAAGGTTTATGGGAAGTTTGAAGAAGGGTTAGAAGTACAAGTACCTTACTTAAGGCTGTAATATGCAGGTTCATGAGCCTTACCAACTGACCGCAAGTACAGGTCGCGGTTTTTCGTTGCTGGCTGGTTCAGATGTAGGCAGGGGCTGAGGTCTGAGTGAGCCTCGGCAGAAGGCCAAGGGCAATACAAGAAGAGGAGAAGTAAAGCACTTGCATGTGTCAAAAAACGCACAGAATGCCGAGTGCTTGTTAACCCCTAAACCCTCAACCCCTTGCTAAGTTGGAGCGTTCGCGACACTTCAGGTGAACACCAGGACGTGGCACTTGATCGCAGCTGGCCCCTGCTGCAGACGCCGAAGGTGACGTCGAGGGCAGCGCCGAAGGCGGTGCCTGCTCCATGCCCGGCTTAGGGACTACTGTGGGGGCTCCTAATTTGCCCCCCCCCCCAAAAAAAAAAAAACAAACAAATCAACTTAAATCCGAAAGGAAAGTGGGCGCGTGTTTGGTGCCCCGTCATCAAATTTGGGCAAATTCGTCTGTCATTCTTGTTGTTTGGGGGGAGGGGGGCGGGGGGGGGGGTCTACTGAAGCCCTGAATGCCCTGAACTCCCTTCTTGTTCTCAGCTTTCGTCCTCTCGACTCACACCCGCTTTGGAGCTGGTAGTTTTGTAAAGGCATTATTTTAATTATGGTAGGTGAGAGTTTGCGAATATATATATATATATATGTATACATATATACATATACAGATATACAGATATATACATGCATACATACATACATACATACATGTATATATATATATATATTGTATTCAATCCTAGCATAAACATATTCAATTACAGTACATTTTTACTTGTGTGGCTGGCTCGCTCTCTCTCTCTCTCTCTCTGTCTCTCTCTCCTTCTCTCTCTTCCAGCATCTCGAGTCTCCTCAGGCTCACAAAGGGATCCGTAAAAGAGCCCCGACTATATATTCGAGAGGAAAGTCTGCCTCGCTCAGCACAGTGTGAGGTTCAGTGTCTTTTGACACTTTAGGGTTTTTAGAGGGTGCAGGATGTTTACTTGAGGCATTCATGGGTAGTCCTAAGTAGGGCAATAAGTACGTTAATTGAGATGCAAACAGAGGTTACCTTACTTACAACCCCACGTATCAAGGGACTTAAGGAGGGACCCTTATAAGGGACCTTGAGGGTCATTTCGGGGTTGTTTAGAGGCTTAGGTTTGTACGGTGGATGGAGGAAATCTTGCACAACTCTTAACATTCTCTCCCCTGGCCCCCCCTTTTAACATTGCAGCGAAAAGCAGGTTTTCTAAACCCGAAGCCCTAAAGCCACACGAGCAAACTTCCAACCAAGCTTCTAAACTCCCAAGACGCCCCACAATCCCAAACCATGCATCCCTGATGATGATGATTATGATGTTGTTGTTGTTGATGATGATGGAAGGACATATCTTGATAACAGATGACGACCGTGAAAAAATCGTGGCCGTCTCAAGCGGCTTCACCCTAAGACCGGGAAGCCTTGAACTTCAAGCTCGACTTGGCTGCACTTAGCAAGGTAGCTATAAATTTTAAATTTTCAGCTGCCTTCTTCAGAAACCCAATAAGCCCCAAAAAAGGCCAAGGCTCGAAAGTTACAGTGAAGCACCACAGAGTCGAAGCCGAAACCCCAAGAACGCCTTATGTTAACTTCAGGCCCAAGCCCTCCAGGCTCAAAGTACCCCCTACTATCAGAATCCCAATTCAGGCAACTAAGGACTGTTAGTATAAGGGGGAACATCCCACCTAACCCTAAACCCTAAACCCTAAACCCTAAACCCTGAACCCTAAACCCTAAACCCTTTTTGAACCCAGGCCCTAAACCCTAAACCCTGAACCCTAAACCCTAAACCCTAAACCCTGAACCCTAAACCCTGAACCCTGAACCCTAAACCCTAATCCCTAAAGCCTACTCCAAACCCTGCATCTCCGCGCCCTCGGGCACCTCCTGCTCCGGCACAGGCGCCAGTGCTGGAGTCGTCCTGCGACCCTTAGGGTTTGGGTTTAGGGTTTAGGGTTTAGGGTTTAGGGTTTAGGGTTTAGGGTTTAGGGTTTAGGGTTTAGGGTTTAGGGTTTAGGGTTTAGGGTTTAGGGTATAGGGTATAGGGTTTCGGGTGTAGGGTTTCGGGTTTCGGGTTTCGGGCTTAGGGTTTCGGGTTTCAGGTTTCGGGCTTAGGGTTTTGGAAGAGTGCAGGTTGAAGGAGGGGTGCGAGGTCTAGTAAACCTACAGCCTGCCGGCACTTCTCACCCCGCTCTGAACTCTGAATAAGGCCTCTAAACCCGAAATAAACCCTAAAGTCCCTAAAGAAGCCCTATGTATAGACTCTAAATTCCAAATAAACCCAATAAACCGGAAATGGACCCTATAAAACGGTACCGGCCTCGCCCGTAAGGCCAAGTCCAGTAGCGAGCGGTGCCGCAGCTCGTCGTCCAGCAAGGACAGGAAGAAGACGAGAGAGAGGGCAATGCTCCTGGGTTTTAGAATTCAGGGTTTAGGGTGCTTGGGGAGTAAGGTTAGGGTTTAGGGTGTTTGGGGCGTTTAGGGTTTGGGTTGAGGGCTTACCTTAAAACCCTCTGAAACGATTCCTAAATACCATCCGCTTGAAGACAGCAAAGGAGAATTGTACCATATCCCAAAGGGCCTACACAGCATATAGGCTTCAGAGTGCATTTCAGGCGACTCCCTTCGCAGCCTGAAGCACGCCCTAGTAGCTGTAGACCCACAACTGCACAAGCAACCCTAAACCCCCCAAACCCTAAATTAGGGTTTAGGGTTTAGGGTTTAGGGTTTAAACCCCATAAACCCGAAGTTCGCGAGCAACCTGAGTCGCAACAGCATGCCATGCTGACAAGGGTCGATAGCAATCTGAAAGCATCGGCGCATGCTGCTGCTGAGGCCATGTGGCGACTTCTCTAAACCGGGGTTTACGAAAATGAGGGACCCCAAATAGTGTCCCTCAAATACTTTAATCCTTATTCTGGGGCCCACCCAAAAAGGGCACCCCTATGTCCGGAACCCCCCAAACGACAGTACAGGTTTTAACGTACTTGGATTCGGCTTCCAACCCGCATGAAAGGCTCCATAATCTAGGGGCCTGACGAATATTTGAATTTTTTTGGGGGACTATCATATCACCATATAGGGACGATAAGGGAATACTGCTAGCAATAAAGAAAACACAACTTCGTAACATTCGGAGCGTGGGCGCCTTCGGGTTCATGCAAGCTGAGGCGAGCCGCGAAGGAATGGAAATTGCTAGAAGCACTGTTGAAATGGGCTGCCATCACATCCTGCAGGTCCTAACACAGCACGCTCGGGCCACGAGGATACTCTTCTCGACCGTGTGCTAAAGTCAATGAGCAGAAGATAGTTTGGGCTCTAGTGTTGCTCATTCGACACTTGCTAGCCCTGGCTTGTTTCCTCAGCCGGCATTGTAAAGGGAGCTGCGGACAGACGTGCAAAGGCGAGCCAAGCAACACTGCAGGAGACAAAGCTGTCAACGACTATCGGGGGTTTTAGTTTTCAGAAGAGGTTTTGAGGGATATTCTAGTATAAATATGAACGGAGGACCATCAGGGAATACGATGAGTACTTATTCCGACCCTCTTTGATAAAGCTTTACAACACAAAAAGATCAGTCTCCCACACCTCAGGACAGTTAAGACTGCAGCGCCCGCACTTTTATTTCCACGGTGCGGAGGAGAAACTATGCCGATGCGCAACAGGCGGCCTCTGCAGCCTCGGATTCAGTATGGTTCAGGAAGGAAATGCTGGAACCCTAAACCCTAAACCCTAAACCCCAAGGGTGCAGAGTTCATCCTGGTCGAGCTCTTCTCCCGATGCCGACCGGAGGCTGCGAGCAGAAGTGCTGATCGGATTTGCCAGGCCTCAGGAACAGTTCGGTCGGGAGTTCAGGGTTTACAGACCGAATTTTTGCAGAAGGATCAGCATTCGGTGGTCTGTAAAGCACGCGCATAAACATCAGCGAAACAAGTCAACAAACACAGCAGACAAATTAACACGCGCACACACACACACAGACAGACAGACAGACAGACAGACAGACAAACAGACATAGATACATATGATACATACATATACATATACATACATGAACCTGCATATACATACGTATACATACATATACATACATACACATACATACACATACATACACATACATACACATACATATACATACATATACATACATATACATACATATACATACATATACATACATATACATGCATATACATACATATACATACATATACATACATAAACATACATATACATACATATACGTACATATACATAGCATTCACCGTTTTTGTATTGGAATGTTTCGATGCTCACTCTCGCACAAGGCAGGTGCTTACAGTTTCGCATCTGCATACTGATGTTTAGTCTGAACAAAGCCCCCACATTCAAAAGTCTTATGCCCCGAGTTTGACTGCTTTACACCCTCCTTAAAGCCCCTGAGCCATGAAAAACCCAGCCCCAAAACTCTCCCTAGACTCGAGTAGAGTCTAGACCCGCAGCCCACCCGCCTTGTCCAGCGGCGCACTTCCTTCCAGGAAGGCGTCCACGCGAATGGCCCGACCATCCTCTGCGACCTCCGATAGAAGTTGGGTTCAGGGTCTAGGCCCTACACCCCAAATTCTACATCCTAGGCATCTTAAGGTGGGGAGGGCACTCTTCATGAGTGAGGCTTTGCAAACTCTGCAGGGTTTCGGAAGCTAATGCTGTATTGTGTCGGGGAGTCATTACGACCGTAGCGTGGCATCGGAGGTGCGGCCCTGAACTCCAGATCCCAAGCCCTGCGCCATAACCTTTTAGAAGGCTTTAGGCTTTTGGCTCTTGGGTTTCAACCATGAACCAAATCCCTGAGGCTTCCCTGCACTCACTTTGCAGCTGGGCAGCGCAAACCTTTGGCTGCAAAGACTGCTGGTGGAGTAGGCCGTCTTGTTGCTTGAGGGCGCTTCCTCGCTGGAAGAACGGCAAACTGCGAATGCTGATGGCATGCATTATAAGAATGAAAATAATGCAAAAGTACAAAGTATAGTAATATAACTATATACGTAATATATAATAAAATAATACAATAATCTAATAACAGAATCGTATACTAGTGTAATAGTACAACGTAACAATACGACAAAATGACAATATAACAATCAACACGTCTTGAAATTGAATACTCTAACACCCTAATGATCCCATAATCTAAGAATCTAGTTATCTAAGAAACTAAACCGCGAATGTTATACGAGCATAAGAATGTAAAACTAGTGAAAATATGATAATCTAAAGGAGCTTATCCAGCGAAAGCGACGGGATGCCCTTGTTACACTGTTAGTATAAGAAATCTAAGAATCTAGTTATCTAAGAAACTAAATCGCGAATGTTATACGAGCATAAGAATGTAAAACTAGTGAAAATATGATAATCTAATGCCATACTCTTGTACTAACAGTGTAACAAGGCATCCCGTCGCTTTCGCTGGATAAGCTCCTGGCACGAACATCCTTGAGCGACTCTCCAAAGAATTGTTGACCCAACGGGAGCACCAGTCTTTGCGGCACAATGGAAAGGACTTGCTGAACGCCATGGGCTTTCTTATCTCAGCAAAGGCCGAGAGCCTTTCTGGGCGACTCGTCGAAAGACGTCGACCCACTACCTATTATAAAATTCAATCAATTTAATATAAAATAATTAAACAATAATAAATTTCAAAAAACTAAGACTCTAAATAAAATTGAATGGTTTTCGGCTAGAGGAAGGCCCATATGACGTGAACGGACAGACGCAAAGTCCGATGAAGCCCCCAACCCCTAAGTTGATGGTGACCTACAACCCAGGTTTAGGGTTTAGGGTTTGCTGAGGAGCCTCAGGAGCAACACAGAATATGATCCGCTTGAAAGTGGTTTTGGGAGGTTTGGGTGGGTCCTTCGACACACCTGAAATTTAGTTCGCTACTATTTGCTTTAGAACCAGCGGCAATAAAGAGACTATTATCCGTCATTTTTGGGGTCCTTAAGCAACTAGTAGTCATGTAGTTCGGGGGGCCCGAAATCCTGCACCCACAAGGCCGCACCAAGCCCACAGGCCGGGTGCCAATTCACAAGATTCTACGAAGAAGTTGAGCAAGGGAGCCCGAACTCAGAACGTCCCTTAGACCCAAGAGTAACCTGGGACAAAGAAAGGGCACCCGTGTTGGTTTAAAGGGGCTTCTAAGGGAACCTGCAATAAACCCAAACAAAAAAGGGAGTAAGGGCCCAACAGGGCAGCCCTTTTTGGCTTGAAGGGCTTATAAGGGAACCTATAATCATAAGTCCTAAGAAAAGGAGTAACCTAGGACAATAAAAAGGTGGCACCCTGGTTGCCTTAAAGGGGCTTATATACAAGGGAACCTATGAAACTCTCAAGAAAAAGGCGCTTATAATACAAGTAAACCTAAAAACCCTTAAGAAACAGGCGCTTGTAATACAAGTAAACCTATGAAACCCTTAAGAAAAAGGGGCTTATATACAGGGGAACCTATGAAACCCTGAAGGCAAAGGGAGGCAAGGGACCCTAAACCCTAAACCCTAAACCCTAAACCCTAAACCCTAAACCCTGAACCCTGAACCCTGAACCCTAAACCCTAAACCCTAAACCGGGTCCCAGGCCCCCGCTGTGCAGGGCCAAGATTCGGACACGACTGGCGATCATGTCGATCTTGTCTGATCCAGTGCCATCCTTATGTGCTCAGTATGGGTTTAGGGTTTAGGGTTTAGGGTTTAGGGTTTAGGGGAACTAAGCTACCTTGTCTGATCCGGTGCCATCCTTAGCTGTCCAGTATCCTGGCGAACTAAGCTTCTAAGGGTAGCTACATGGGCCCTTAATATGTTAATATGGTCCCTTACCTCCTTTAGGGTTCTGATGTATGGGCCCGTGGGTTGTGTAGGGTATACAAGGGCTATGTAAGGGGTCCCCGTTTAAGCGCCCATGTCAAGGGAGCATGTATCTACCCTAAGAAACCCACCCCAGGAATGAAAAAAAGGGTGCCCTATTTGGTCCAAAGGGGGTTTACTAAGGGGAACCTAAACCCTGGGTCCTAGTAAAGGCCAACCTTTAAACCCTAAACCCTAAACCCTAAACCCTACTTTGCTAGTGAGCATCTGCGAGCGGGATGACAACTCGCACAGGCCTCACACTGCTCCGCTGGGAGCCATCCAGCTTGGAAGCGGGCACCTGCCAGGAGTCTATTTAGGGTTTGGGGTTTAGGGTTTAGGGTTTAGGGCGTCTGTGCTACCGCTCTGTTGAAATGTAATGTCACACAGATGCATGCACAAGCCTTGAGAAAGCCAAATCAAGCGTCTAGCCGGCCAACAAACTAGTAACTAACAACGCAGTGAACAACGTCGTATTGCTAGCAGCAGCAAGAAGGGGGGCATGAACCCAGTTTTCATCGACTGTGCATTGTGTAAATTCAGTTGCCTTGCCATACCTGGTAGAATCTGCATATGCATCCCAGTTCACATTCTTTTGCATCCGTGTCATCGTGCTTGGATCCTGACTGCCCGGATCAACTGCGAACTTTGAGCCCTGACAAGCACTCCGCATCACTCCACAACCCAAAGCACGGACCAACGACGTGCACAAACACATGTTGCAAGGGCATATGCTTCTACTCACATCTCCTTGCTGCCAGGAGTTCTGAAGCCCTAAACCCTAAACCCTAAACCCTAAAACCCTAAAGCTCTAAACCCTAAACCCTAAAACCCTAAACCCCTACACCCTAAACCCTACAGTCTTTAACCGTCTGAGCCCAGATCCCTTCGCCTTCACTGCCACACCAGAAGCGAGGTCGCTGAGCACCGCATGTCTGCCCCGGAACCTGGGTTTAGGGTTTAGGGCCCACGTCACACCTTCCTTGACCGCCCTTAAGCCCCATTCAAGTTAATCAAATTCTGCAACCCTAAACCCTAAACCCTAAACCCTAAACCCTAAACCCCTAAATGCCCGAAGTCGCACCCCTCTGGCGCCAAGGAGCCCTTGGAGCTGCGCCGGCACCGCAGTCTCCGCCAGTGCCCGGACCCAATAGAACTTCCCGGTATGCAGGCAGAGCCTGGCCCGCCAGTCCTGGCGGTAGGGTTTAGGGTTTAGGGTTTAGGGTTTAGGGTTTAGGGTTTAGGGTTTAGGGTTTAGGGTTTAGGGTTTAGGGTTTAGGGTTTAGGGTTTAGGGTTTAGGGTTTAGGGTTTAGGGTTTAGGGCTACTACTTGAAGGTACATGGGCAGTTGCAAGTAGCGTTATAAGTGCCTTAGTCAAGGTTATCATATAGGTTACCTTACGCATAACCCTACTTATAGCTACCCATGCCTCCACCTGAACTATTTATCAGTTTCTAGGACTTGATTCTCGGATGGCCCTTAAAAGCTTCTGAAACATATTCTTTGATCCTCTTAACCCCCAATATGGGGACATATAGCATGTCCCCAGAGCCTACCTATAGGTGTTGTCAAGCATCCCACCAAAAGCCCCCAGACACCCCCAATGTCCCCCAAAACCCTAAACCCTAAACCCTAAACCCTAAACCCTAAACCCTAAACCCCGATGGCTGCCGAGAGCTTCTCCCGGTCCTGGGCTGCCAAGTAGACGAGGGCCAGGGAGCCCACGGCAACGCCCGCTGCAAGGCAGCTGCCGGCCGTGCCACCCAACCTTCGTATGGGGTAGGGTTTAGGGTTTAGGGTTTAGGGTTTAGGGTTTAGGGTTTAGGGTTTAGGGTTTAGGGTTTAGGGTTTAGGGTTTAGGGTTTAGGGTTTAGGGTTTAGGGTTTAGGGCTTAGGGTTTAGGGTTTAGGGTTTAGGGTTCGCTGAGGCAACCGTTGCTTCCTAGGGCCTCAGGGGCTCAAGCTTATGATTATGGATTGTCGGGTTCGGCGGCGAGCTTCTGCATCCTTCTGTGGACATCCTACAGCCCCCTCAGCCCCAACTTCAAAACGTAAAAACACGCAAGCAAACAACAGCACATCTACACAACGCGAGCCCAGCCGCAATCCCGGGCTGACAGGTCCAGGCGCACCTGCTGCCAGGAGCATCGCCCAATAAATCCTGAGTCTCAAGGGGCGACTTCTTCCCCCTCAAGGAAAACTAGCGCTTGCAACCTGTACCTGCAGGGTCAAAAGGGCACTATATTATAGAGTTTGGGCGTAGGTAACTCTAAACATGCCTAGACTCGCAGTGCTCGCTGCTCCCACGATCCATGCCCTCACGCAAGCGACCGCCAGCCCAGGAACTGGGCCGCTGGGTTCCGGGAGGCTTCGGCTCAGCACGCGTGCGCCCTGCACGCTCAGCACAAGCACAAGGAAGGCCGTCGAGACCTGGTGCGCCCAGGCATCCACCCAAGCCACCTGACTGACAGGGTCTCAGCGTCCCACGCGGAAAGCTCACACAGCCCAGCCCTAAACCCTAAACCCTAAACCCTAAACCCTTTTGGCTCCATAACCCCCAAACAATTATCATAGCCGCAGCCTGCTTTGCCAGCTGCATGTGATACGCGATCTTCTGCCTGCAGGGGTTTAGGGTTTAGGGTTTAGGGTTTAGGGTTTAGGGTTTAGGGTTTAGGGTTGAGGGTTGAGGGTTTAGGGTTTAGGGCGTCAGGCTTCGACTTTCTGGCTCTGGTCATGGTTGTCCTCCCACCAATCTGGCTTCTATCGATCGTTTATTTTTCGTTACAAAAAGCATCATTGAACTCAGAATCCCTGTTCCCCTAGGAAGGAAAAAGGATCCTTTTTGTTCATATATAAGAAAGCCCATAACCCAAAAAGTAAAAAGAATCCCTAACACTGATCAAGTCAGAGAGTCAGAGGCCTTGCGATCTAAGCCCCGAACCCACGTCGACAACGCTGCCTATCTCACTCCTTCTTCAGCAGGGTAACCCCCCCCAAATCCCCTAAACCCTGAACCCCCTAAACCCCCCTAAGCCCTAAACCCTAAACCCCCTACCCCCAAAAAACCGAGACAAGGCACACGATCCCCACCCTGGGAATCAAGAACGCAGTCGCCGCCGCAGCGGCTGATGCCCGCGAGTTCACTGCCAGGAACCAGTGGGCCTTGGGTTTAGGGTTTAAGGGTTGAAGGGCTTAAGGGTTTATAAAAAGGGTTAAAGGGTCAAAGGGTTTACGGTTTAAGGGTTGAAGGGCTTAAGGGTTTATAAGAAGGGTTACAGGGTCAAAGGGTTGAAGGGTTTACGGGTCTCAGGGTTTGGGTAGTGCAGTTGCCAAGTCTAGGTTCAGCTCAGGGCTTGAGAAACTTCTTGAGGGGAGACTGCTTCTTGCGGAGTGGCTGGGCCTTTCGAGTTTAAGCTGTTCAGACCTGTTCAGCTTTGCAGTGACCTTCAACCCTTCTGTGCATCCGGGCTATGCTGTCCTCAAACAGAGAAGCTGGGACGAAGTCTATATCCAAGAAGTCAAGTGCCACTCGCACACGCGCACCCCACTCTCAAAGTTAGGCGAGCTTCAGCCCTAAACCCCCAAACCCTAAACCCTAAATCCTAAACCCTGGGTCACTTTCGAGTACTTCCGCCGAAAGTGAGCTGCCGAGATGCGTGGTGGGGAAGCCAAGTATGTGGTCATTCGCGTGCCCATGGACAGGTGTGTCAGAAGCCCTTGTTGCGTACCCCAACCGACTCGAACCCTCTAACCGACTCGAACCCTAAACCCTAAACCCTAAACCTATTGGAAGCAAACGGGCCTCTGAGTCTCGAAGGAATGATCAAGAGGCTCAAGTGCAAATGCGAATCGCCAAGATCGCTCTCCGGGCCCTTGAGGCCCAACAAAGATCACACAGCGAATCCTCCAATGGCTCGCTCGATGCAAAACACAATGTTTTGCTTTTCTGTGCTCACGTAGCTGTGATTCGCCGTATGGCGAGATATTCAGGCAAAAGGGATCCCTGTGGGTGATTTGGGCCGAAGTGAGAAGCGGAAACAAACAACACCTCAAAGCATCGAGATCGGAAGCAACTCAGGCTCAGATTCCAACACGCCCCTAAAATCTTTGTTGGAGTTCTCACTTCTGCCCGCTTGCTTCAGCTTCTTGGCAGATGTAAAATCTGGATCATACACTAATGTCCAGAATCCTTCGTTCATCACCTTATGCAGAGTGCCAATCGGAAGTGGCTTCGTCAAATGATCTGCCAGCTGAGCATCAGAATGCACCCAACGTACTGTTGTCTGCATCTTCTCTAAGGATTCTAGCAGACACAAAATTTCTAAGGACGAGTACTTGTCTTTAAGTCCTAGCCCTGCTGAATTCAAATCTTTCTTCAACAAAATGTCGAAGAGTGCCTTCGCGTCGGTCACAACCGCTCCGGGGATGCGACGAATGGCGGATGCAGCGTCTTTGAGGTCAACGGGCACTGCACAGAGCTCTGCCCATGCCAAGCGCACGAACACCAACTCTTGATCTGCTTCAGCCATCGCCTGTGCCTCTGCCGCTAGCGATGAGCGGGCTTTTCGAGGAAGTCGACATGACCGCCAGGAAACCATCGTCAAAGGGGACCTCTTGCCCTTCATCATGTCTGGCGTGGTGGCAGCGATGACATAGCCGCCGGTAGAGCTCAAATCAACTCTGTTTGCAAGAGCTGCATCGCTCCATGCAACGAAGTTCACATCCAAGGGATCATCTACCTGTAGCTGATTGATGCGCGTTGACAAGAAACGTGTTTGGAAACATTCTCTAGCCAGCTTGTTTGCAGCCTTGAGGGTGCCGAGGTTTGCCCTAGTCACGGCGCTTTGTAGCTGTCCAATCTTTGCCATGAGGTGTGGCGCGGTTTGTTGACTACGCCACTGAAGAGCACCTAGAATGCCTCTGAGCTGGGTGAGCTCATCCGGTGTGATCGAGTCTTCGTCGTTCTTCGTGGTGTAAGTGATCGCCTCGATGCCCTCGCAGAAGCTGGAGTGGTCCAGAGAGAAGCTGAAATCGGGTTCTTCTCGAATACGAACTCCACAATGCAAGAAGCTGTTGCACTCCCATGGTGACCATTTGAATCGAGCATAGAAGCCGTTCAAGGCTTCCACCCAAGCATCACACTCCTCGTCGCCGCTGATGACGAAGTCGTCGACGTGGGCACACACAAAGCCGCTCGTGATCTTGTTGCCCTCCTTGTCTGTGGTGTAGAAAAGCCACAGACAGGGATCCGTCCGACTCTGGTAGAAACCCAAATTGGCCAATGTCTTCTTGATGCACTGATACCACGACGCAGGAGCATGCACCAATCCGTAGCATGATTTCAGAACTTGGACCACCTCATTCTTCTCCAACTGCAGCGCCTGGGCCAGTTCCGGCACCGGGATAGCAAACAAGGATCTGTCTGCCTCCTTTGCTTCGCCCTGCAAAAAAGCGGCTTTCACGTCCGCTTTCAGCAAACGCCATTTTCGAATGGAAGCAAACTGCAAAGCCAACTGCCTTGTCCTACGACTCATGGTTGGGGCCGCCGATTGGATGTTTGCCAGGTCCGGATCTTCATAGCCGATCAAGACGATACGTCCTTTTGGCTGTCCGCTATCTTTGTAGGTTAAAACCCACCGCATGCGGACAAGCCGATTTTTGTCCACTTGATCTTTTGCTGCGCGTTTCACAGCAGCGGCAGCCAGCCATTGCTGAACTTCAGTGAGCTTTGCCTTGGAGAAACCAGACTTTTCTTCTTCTGACAGGAGATGCCATTTGACCTCTGCGCCCTTGATCTTCTTGGCATAGAAGTTCTCAGGTGTCCGGGCCATCTTCTTCCATTCATTATTCTTCTTTGGAAGCTCCAAGGTCAAGCAGCACATGTAGCGGTCCTTGCTGTCTTGAACGAAGAGGTCATCCTCCCCAACATGCTCACGCCGCTGCTTCTTGAAAAGTGGTTGTGACAGAAGTTCGTTCACGGGGCGCGCTGTTGGAGGCTCCGTGGCAGGTGGTTCATATCCAGGATCTTGTAGAAATCGCTGCAAGTCCACTCCTGCCCTCGAGGAAGTCGCTGATGCTTCTGTTCTTGTAGTCGGCGTAGCTGTCGTCCTGGTAGTTGTCGCCTTCGTTGACCACCTCCCTGGTCGGTTTTCCGGGCTGATCAGATCCATCAGCGTCGGATCCTCAACCTCCTTGTCGGGTTCTTTGTCGGGTGGCTTCGGTGTTCTGGAACGCAAACGAGAAGGCGCTGGTGATGGAGACCTTCCCACCGATCGTCCCCGACTGCCGCGAAGAGCGCGAGGGGGTCCTTGCGCCAACTCGTCCTCTGGGAACACGCGGTCGTCCAGGATCTCGTACTCACCTTTGAACAGAGTAGTTGTCAAACCGTGGAAGGTCCACGCGGCAGTTGGAGCATCAGCTCCCTCTGCGATGGCTTTTTCTCTCTCGGACGCGTGGCGCAGTTGTTCTGGCGCGCAGCGCTTCAACCTCCCATGGGTGACTATCCAGATCACGTGAGATGGCTTTCGCTCATGTCCCATGGCATCTGTTCTGGTCTCCGTTGCCAGAACTCGTCCTGGCCCATACCACTGCCATAGTTTGTGGGGCATGCGCACTGCTGCTGCTGGTTGCGCTGGGGGTTTCACTCTCTTGAAGTACACCAAGTCGCCGGGGAGAAACTGTTGTAGCCGCCGCGTCTTGGCATTCATGGCGCGGCTGATTTGTTCCATCGATTGCGCTTTCAGGAACGCAGTCTGAGCTCGATGGCGTAGCTTCAGATTCACTGCCATCTCGCTCCCAACAACGGCTGAGGATGTCCAAAAAGGGTCATCGTAGGCCTTCTCATGTAGGCGACCTGAAAGTGTAGGTTGCCGACCAAAGGCCCATTGGTAGGGGCTGTAGCCGTTCACCTTCTCAAACTCGTTGTGAGCTTGACAAGCCTGGACCACAGCAGACCAGGCGTCAAACTCCCCTGACTGCAGCAGCTGTTTCACCCTGCTCTTGATGGTTTGGATAGACCGTTTCGCAAGGAAGGATTTCGATGCCACGCTCTGCTGCCCAATTTGACAATTCCGTTGCTCGAAAAGCACCTTCTGGATCTAGACGAATGGCTGCCGGCGCACCATAATGTCGAATCCAAGTGTCCTGCAGGGCCTGTATCGCTTCAGATCCCGTACAGTTACGACTGTCCTGCTTTGGATGTTGGAAGAGGAGATGAGGACAGATCAGCCGAGAGGCTTCGTCCACCATGACCATGCAGTGGATCACCTGGTCATCCACCGGGAACTCCGCGTTGTCAATCACCAAGGTTTCCCATAGAGTTTCGGATCTCTGTAAGGACGCCGAGGGATTTGAAGTGGCAAGGCGAAGTTCTTGGCATTCTGGACATTGGTGTTGCTTAGCCATGGTCACCACCTCAGGGTGTGCGCCTCGATGACGGAGACATGAAGCCAAAGCCTGATTCGAGGGATGTCCTGTGCGCCGATGCAGTTTATGCAAAGATTTCTCGACGTTCTTTTTCTCCACCTGCGTCAGGGGCACAAAGGACTTCGTCTTCTCCTCTGGCTCTTCCAAAATCTCCTTCTCGTGAAAGACGGGGAACACCTGCGGAAAGGCATTCTCGAGGGTGCCCTGGGCCATTGCCATGGTGACTTGAAAAACACGAGTGCACATCGATGTTGGATAAAATCCTGAAGCTCGGGTTTCCTTTTCTTCAAGACATTCTCCGTGACTATGATCGCCAGGGCACTGCCGAGAAATACCCGCTGCTAGTGCTTCATTGGAGCATACAATTTTCCACTGCTTCTTCAGGAACTCATTGCTGCTATTTTTGAGGCCATACGAACACCCATGAACTCTGCCTACATGCAAGCGATGATGGTGACGAAGATAATCCATGAAGGATCGCATCTCTCGAACTTGCCATCCACCATTGCTTGACGGCCATTCCCAAGCTATCTCTCGCCCACCCTCTAGCTGTTGATAGGCGATCTCTATGGCGTGCTTCATCATCTTTCGGGATTTTCGTTGTCGCTGTTGGCTCTTCTTCAACATCTCATCGGTCCTCTCATATGAAGCCTTCTGGGAGGGTTCATAGGAGCCACAAGGCAAGGAGAACCAGAGAAGTCGAGGACGATGTCGACTCACCATCTGCGCAAGTTCGACACAGCCTCGTTGGGTGGACAGGTCACAAGCCGGAAGTCCAACTCGCAAAGCTGATCGGCCGTGCTCATGAAAAACTTCCACTAGGGTGCTGTCTATCGGACAACAAACTTCCATCAGATCCACCTGGGGTGCTGTGACCATGATTTCTTCGAAGGCGTCATTGATGTCAGCCAGGTGTTTCACGCCATAGTCCTCGAGCTTGGCTTTGTGCGCAGTTGTCAGGATGGCATAAGGCTGAGTAAGGATCTCTTCCGTGGCCTTGACATCCGGTGTGTGAAGCTCGGTCAACGCCACCATCAGGGGGAATTCTTCTTGGCGACCAGGTCCCAGTCTTGCGACTCGGCTTGCTCGGCCTCCTTGTCGTTCTCCCTCTTTTGCGCTTTCTTGCCCGGCGCATTCTTCATCTGCTCGTCCATTTCGGTCGAGGGCGCAACTGCTGATGACGCCGCCGGGGTTGCCTTTGGCCGATGCACTGTCTTGGTCAGGACCTTGGCCTTCTCGTTCTCCAACTGAGCCAGGCGGCTCCGCAACGACTCCTCGGCTCCCAAGACACTGACCGTCTTCGCGTTCAGCTTCTCGCGGTTCTGAAGGTTGGTCTCCACATCGTCCTTCACCTGGGCCATCACCGTCTTGACGTCGGGAGCCAGAGGACCCGCCTGTTGGCAGGTTGCCTTGGCTCCATAAGCCGGGATATATTCCAGACGAAGACGACAGATGTCGCAGACAGTCCACTTGCCGTGGGCATTTCGGCCCGATAGAGAGCCGCGGCCTTCGGGCATGGGAGTGTGACTCCCAAAGCATGGGAACCCCTGGCTGCGTCCATCCCTCGGGTCTGGGCCCTCCCGCCTCGAGAAATCGAAGCGTTCGGGCGTTGGAACCCGGTCCTTCTTCTGCTTGCTCTTCTGCTTGGGCGCGCTCTTTGCCGCCACCGTTGCCGTTGAAGGAGAGGTCGCCGCTGCATGAGTGCCGCCGGTGGGGGAAGTCGCCGCCATGGTCGGGCACGGAACTTGGAGAGGAAGTTGGCGAAAAGGCAGTGGACACTGCCGCAATCACGAGTGGCCAAGCCGCTCGCATGCTTGAGCCTGAGTTGTCACGGTCACACATCTCCTCATGAACATGTACATGGTGGTCAGTGCGGCCGAGGCTGTGAGTGTGCTCCTGGTTCTCTGACAACATGGGCTCAACACTGACAGGCGCAGACTTGCACGGCGCACACGAAGCTTCCCCCTTGCCATACTCGCTCTGAGCGGGACCCTTCATGTATTGCTCAAACTGCGGTGCGTTCAGTGCTGGTTCGGCGCTCATTGCTGTGAAACTGTTCGCGCCCTCACCCTGCGGAACCCAATCTTGCGTGAGGTCCAAAAGCAGGTGGCCATTTGGGGCGCGACTTAGCGGAATCCACATTCCGGGAGCTATGTGCTGAAACTGGATCTGATCCCTCTCAAAATCCACAATGGCTTTCATGCGCTTCAGAGTCTTCACGGAGATCAGAAGAGGAATGCCAGGCGCATCTAACGCGTGAACTCCCAGGGGCACGCGCTGTCCATTGACAATCTGGGGGACCTCCACGAAGGACACGGCGGACTGGTACGTGCCGTTCCCGAAGCGAAACTTCTTCTGGCGGTCGCGCACTACGAACTCTTCAGGTCCGTGTCGGCGGGCTCGAAGTGTCATGATCTCCTCCAAGGCTTCCATGGATGCAATGGACTCTGTGGCCCCGGAGTCGATCACGGCGTGACCAGGAAACTCCACCGACATGGCTGCCAGTACATCTGGTCCCAAAGCTGCCACCACGGAGTCTCCCTCATCGTCGCCAGTGGTCGTCGCGTCACACGTTGGACTGTCCACCGTCGTCACCATGTACACCTCATGGGCGTAGTAGCTCGAAGGTGTAGTTGAGGCTGCCATAGAGACCGACGAGGAACTTCTCTTTGGGCACCGTCGCCAATCGTGATCTTGCGCGCCACACACGAAGCAGCCCTTGTACTCGGGGTTGCCGGGCCTTTGTCCGCTGCCTCCTTTGCCGAAAGCAGCCAGGACCGTTGAACTTGCCAAAGTGGGACTCGACGGCAAGGACTTGCCAAAGGATTTTCCTTTGCCCTTTCCTTTAGGGGAACCCTTAAACTTACCTTTCAGAGTCTTGAGGGGGTAAAAACCACGAGACACATGCTTGGCCGCATTGAGTGCCCGGCTTTCCTTGAAGCTTCGAAGTCGATCTTGAAAAGCGACAAAGGCCTCCTGCAAGGGCTTCTCGGCCTCGCCACTCTCCTGAACATCCAGCCAAGTCTTGGTGTCTGCCCAAGACCAGTAGATGCCGGCTGCATCTGGGGCATAGAAGTCGTCTTCGCACCATTCCCACGCCATCTCATGGCCATCTGGCAAGAAAGTGCTCCACGCTTCTTCAGGACCATGTGCTGCGTACACGTCAGGCGGTAAGCGGTCGCCCACCCACAAGATGGAAGATTCATCAAGCTCCTCCACCTCTCCGTCTGGTAGGCAACCCCACTGAGCATCCTGTTCAACCCAGTAGGACCGTCGTGCTCGATGAAGATGGTCTCCACGGATACGTTGTGACTCCGCCGCCAGCAACTCTTCCTCCTGGTCGCGCATGGCGCGCTCCATCGAGTCCAGGTCCAGCCGGTTGTTGGTGGCACTCAGTACTGACAGGCGTGCACTTGCTGGTAGTCCGCTCCGACGAAGCAAGATCCAGCCTAGGATCTCCTTTGGTAGGATCTCCTCGGTGCTGAAGTCAAATTGGTCCCATTGGATGGGTTCTTCATCCCACCAGGCATCCTCATCATCCCAATCTCTGCGCCGCCGACGATGATACCATTCGGACCACTCCTCAGCTGTCCACTCACCATTCCTGGAGCTTTCATTGTCTGGGTCGCGCTGCGGAACTGGCTCATAACCCCCAGGCCGGGGATCAGCAGGCTCTTCGTGAGCTTCATGACCAGGATTGTCCGGAGGATGTGGTGAACCAGGTGGCGTCCTGTTTGCCCTTGGTGACGTTACGTCGGAACGAAGTCGCTCAGAACCAGGTGCATCTGAAGCAGGCCGACCGGTAGTCCGGGTTGTTGGTGACTGTCGTCTCTCCAGATCTTTGCGTTGCCGCGCCATTGCTCGCTGAAGTCGACGGTAACTTTCCCGAACCTGCGTTGCCCACTCCGCCATGCTCGAACCGGGTGTACGACGCAGGCGCAGAAAGAAGTCCTCTAGTCTCTGCCCGGTATCTGGTACGGGCGCCTTGCACAGCCTATCCTCCAGGAAGTGCAGGAGATAGGCTGGACCATCCTTGCGCTGCAACTGTCCGTGGTCGACCTCTGAGCTCACAATGTCCCAAGCGCGTCCTGTGAGCCTGGAGGCTAGTTCTGCGCCCAGAAGGTGGCGCTTCTTTACCTCCGTCCTTTCATACTGGAGACGCACCCTCTTCACATATTCCAACCATGTGGTTGGATCTCCGTTCCACGTCGCCACTTGGTCCTTCTTCTCTACCGTAGTCATGTCCGCGAAGGCCGGTTTGCACTGGCTTGTCTTGCCAAACGAATTCCCAAATTCGGCTCCTCAATCCTGGTCGCAAAGCCCCCGTCACGAATGAGCGGATGCTCCGCTACCAGTATTGGAAGCAAACGGGCCTCTGAGTCTCGAAGGAATGATCAAGAGGCTCAAGTGCAAATGCGAATCGCCAAGATCGCTCTCCGGGCCCTTGAGGCCCAACAAAGATCACACAGCGAATCCTCCAATGGCTCGCTCGATGCAAAACACAATGTTTTGCTTTTCTGTGCTCACGTAGCTGTGATTCGCCGTATGGCGAGATATTCAGGCAAAAGGGATCCCTGTGGGTGATTTGGGCCGAAGTGAGAAGCGGAAACAAACAACACCTCAAAGCATCGAGATCGGAAGCAACTCAGGCTCAGATTCCAACAAAACCCTAAACCGTGTGTATTCCGGCGCCCTCAGCCCCAAGATGTCCTACCTGGGCCTGGAAGATCGGCACAAAGGGGGCAGAACCCAGAAGCCACATGACCCAAAATGCTAGACTGCACCGGACTAAACACTGAACCCTAAACTTTCCCAAACCCCCCTGATTCCTCACGCCTAAAGCCTAGACCCTGAACCCAAAACCCCCCTTTTGGTCCTAATGCCTAAGCCTCCGGCAGCCTTGCCAGGCCCGGCGCTGGCACCTGCCAGCCGCGCTGGCAGCACCTAAGGCATGCGGCCGCAGGTTCTGGGGTTTAAGGTCAAGGGTTTAGGGTTTAGGGTTTAGGGTTTAGGGCGATTGGGCGGTGGTTGTAGTTTCTGCCACCAATGCTTTCACAAGCCACACGTATATTTTCCTGCAAAGTGTGCAGCTTACATGCTGGACGAGGCTCGCGGCGAGCTCCCTGCTGGATGACTTCGAAGTTCATCAGTCGCAGCGCTATGCCTCCGCAATGGTGGGCTCAGATTTCTGCAGGCTGAGGTAAAAATGGTAGCCGCTCTTGAAGTTCAGACGTTTGTGAACTTTATCTTCATAAGCTTTCTGGGCCTGCCAGCATGAGCCACTAGCCCTAACATAAAGTCCTGGCCCAAGTCCTTCATGTTTTCCAAACCCCATCCAAGCATGGACTCCCTTGTAGAATTTTGTAGGCATCTGTACATCTGCAAAACACAACACGTATGCCCAGATTCCTTCCCTGGACCAGACACCCCTCAACTGCACGTTTCGGTGGGGTTTTGATTGCGTGGTGTTGAAAGGCGTTTCGCTTGAATCTGCGGTATGGCGGCTGACTGCACAAAATCGGAACTCACTGCAGACTCAGGGGCCGGAGGAGAGCCCGAGAATCAGCAGACCTCTGTAGGCTTCCGGGAATAGGTTTGACTGACTTTCTCACCCTAACCCTAAACCCTAAACCCTACACCCTAAAGCCTGCTGATTGGGGTTGCAGGTCCAGGAGGGGACCCCTTGATGCAGCAAGGATCTCGACCGCTAGGGTTTTGGGGGTTTTTAGGGTTTGGGATTTTAGGATTTTAGGCTTCCTCGCTTCTAGGGATGCCACACCTGTGCCTTGCTTTCAAGTTCATGGGTAGTTTTCTAGGGTTTGAAGTACCTTATCGGCCAGATTACCGGTTGACTTAAAGGAGCGCATGGGTAGTTACAAGTGGAGTCATAATTTGCTGTTAACCATCAAGTATAGGGTTTAGGACTTGGGCTTAGGGATTTAAGTTTGGGCCCGTGTCATGTATTTTGTAGGGTTCGAGCTTTCCCAAGCCTTCCAGAGCCTATGATTTTGGTAGGGTGTTTAGACCCTGATCCTGAAACCCGCCCAAACCATTCTGCGTAGGGTTCTGGAAGGATAACTGGCATGTCTTCCCTACACTGGCTCATCCGGCTAACAATCAGTTTCCTAGACTATGGTCCCTTTGGGGTCCAGGGTTTCGGGCTTATATGGTTTGCAGTGTAGGGTTCCGATTTGTGCCCCCCCGAAAGGGGCCCCTCTCAGATTGTTTCGGGGCACTTATCTGTTGGGTGGGGATCATGAATAGTCAGGATTCAAGGGCTTGGCGGTGTAGCGGGCTGAACGGGAGCTCGGCTGCTTTGGGGTGGGCATCCGAATTCGCGCTTTCATGATGCTCGCTGAACACTCCCCGGAACAAAACCACTCCCGAGTCCTCCCAGACATCAGCAGCTGCAGAAATTCTGGCTTGTCGCCCTTTCCATCTTTACGACTAGGGTTTAGGGTTTAGGGTTCAGGGTTCAGGGTTCAGGGTTTCGCCACCCGCACTGCGCGCACACAAGCAGGGTTTAGGGTTTAGGGTTTAGGGTTTAGGGCTGCTGCTTCCGGAGGCCCCTTGGTCTCTGCAGCCAGGCTTCGGTGGCCCCTAGTGGGAGCATGCGCCACGACCCACTCGACCAAAGTGGGCCACCTGGAGCTTGCCAAAACGTGGGCATGTTGCACGAAATAACACGCCTCAACAGAGTTTGGGGTTCGGATATCGAGTTTCAAGGATAAGCCCTTATAAGGACCCCAAAATAGGCATCCTGTTTGTTCCTAGACCCAAAACCCAAAACCTCAGCCTCAACCCTCGACCCTTACCCATGCAGCTTTGAAAGCAGGGTGTGCGGTTGCACTTGCTGGCCCTTGACCCCGAGCATCCCTCAACCCGGACCCCCGCGCCTGCACACCGCGAGGATGAGAAGAGCGGCCACCACACCTAAGAGCCAGCCGTGGTGCACCCCAAGCCCTAAACCCCCTAACCCCACTAAACCCTAAACCCTATAAACCCTACGTAACCCTAAACCCTAAACCCTAAGCCCTAAGCCCTAAACCCTAAACCCTAAACCCTAACCCTCAACCCTTTCCCCTCCACCCTATACCCCAAACCCCAAACCCTAAACGGTGCAGCGTTAGGGAGCTGAAAGGCTTCCAGCCTCCTTTGAACTCTAGAGGGATTAGGGCGCCTGAGGTTCCCAAACCCTACACCCTAAACCCTTTTGAACCTGGAAGCTGCTTCAGCAGCCCTAAACCCTAAACCCTAAACCCTTTTGCAACTGGGAACCCTAAACCCTAAACCCCAAACCCGAAACCCCTGCAACGCCTCAAAACCCAGAGCCCCGAAGCCTGCATTCTCCAGGGGTCCGCGCTGAGCACGGCGGCTTTGATGCGCAGCTTCTTGCCCTGCTTCTTCAAGCTCTCCTCAGCCTGAGGTTTCGGGAGTTTAGGGTTTAGGGTTTGGAGTTTAGGGTTTAGGGTTTGGGGTTTAGGGTTTAGGGTTTAGGGACCTAAACCCTAAACCCTCGGGTTGAAGGGGGTTAGGGGTTCAGTGGTCAGCGGTTCAGAGGCTTCCACAAGGTTTCAAGGAGGTTTCAGGTGCTTCAAGGGTCGGAAAGGGTGTCAACACGGCTTTAAACCTTCAAGGGATTCCCGCCCAAAAACGCTAAACCCTAAACCCTAAACCCTAAACACCATAATTCCTCATTCCTAAACCCCAGAAGCCCTTTTGCCCTGAAAGGGCTCGCCCCGGCCCGAGCATTGGCCTCCTTCCCCGAAGCGGCGTCCGTCACTTGCTGAGCCACCTTGCGTTCCGAGGTTTGAGTCATGTGCACGAGCGTTTAGCAGGAGGTAAGGCCCAGAAGGTTTAAGTGGCAATTGCGAGCTTAATGCGTGCTAGCCCTGCAGAAGTTATGGAGTTCAAAGTTGAAAGCCAAGACTGGTGCCACGACACATCTGGAAGTGAGCAGGCCGCCGGAGACAATTTGCAACCAATTGCAGATTTGCGGCGTGCACTGCGAAACTTATAGCTGCACGTCTGGTGGGTCTAGGGTTTCGGGTTTAGGTTTCAGACCGCTTTGGCCTCTTCCACGGGCACAGCCGACGTCGACCGCCATGCAATGGTCGCCTCTTCCTGGCCATGGCAGGCTCTACGGGGAATTCTGCGACAGACATGGTCGTCAAGGCGCCAAGGATGCACGATGTGAATGCTTGGTCGAGGAGAGGTTCCTGGGCAATTCAGCACAGTAAGGAGTACCACAAGGAGTCCTTCTCCGGGCTCAGTGTGATCAAGAGCCCATATTCCTCAACTGTGAACACTTAAACTTGCCCTAAGCCCTAAGCCCTAAACCTGCAAACCCTAAACCAGAAACGTCGATTCCGCCTTCGCCAGATCCAGGCCGTCGCATGTGACCACCGTTGGCTGGGGCTTCTTTGCAAGGAGCTGCTTCAAAGCACCTTTCACTCCCCGCGTTGTCGAGGGTTTAAAAGGGGGCGGGGGGGATAGGTTGGCGCTCAGGGCTGGAGTGGGCGCCAAGTGCCCCAACTCCGAAATTCAGCCCCAACCTCAAAGGGTGTCTCACAGAGGAAATAAGCTGAATAATCATGATGATGATAAGAAGAATAATAATCTGACAAACTATTGTATGTATATCTGTGTTTTTGCAGTCTGTTTATCTGTCATCTGTCTTGCATCTGCGCATTTCGGACATCGGGCCGAAAAGCCAAGCACTAACCCTTCTTGTCCTTTTGCATTCTTACTCACGAACTCAGTCCGAGAACATTCCCCTAAACCCTAAACCCTGGGAGGCGTCCCATCCAAGTGGCTCAAGCAAAGCCCCGACGCGAAGCCCTTTGAGCTCAGTGAAGGCACTGGGCCTGCAAAAAGCACACTTTGCGGTTTAGGGTTCTTGGTTGGGATGTTCCCCTTATAATAGACAGTCATGAATTGGGAATATAGTACCCCCCCCCCCCCCAATATAATCCCTATTACGGACTGGTAGTTTAAGGGGGAACGTCCCAAGTGAAGGGTTTTTGGGGTACTCTCGGTCTTAGGGGCCGCCTTAGAATGTTGACCCAAAGGGGGGGTCCCCCAATATTCAACTTAGCGAGAAGTGACCTGGGCTTTGGGTTTTTGAGTTTAGGATGGTCTCAGGGCAGGAGTAGGGCACCTTATGCAAAGCTTCTAGAAGGTGTGAGACCTTAATTTTCAGGTACTTATAACCCTACTTAAAACTTAAATTACTACCCATGAACTGTCAAGTAGATACGGCGCATACAAAGAAACTACCCGCCTTTGAAGTCCATGGTTCTGGGTTTCCAACACGTCTTGGGCTCTCGGGTTCAGGGTTGGAAGGTTCCTAAACCTAAACCCTAAAACCCTAAACCCTGGTTTAGGGGTCGCCTCCGAAGGCAAGGATGATCAGGAAGAGGACCAGAACCAGAGGTGGCGGCAAGACCAAGGCACTCAGATACCTGAGAGCATGCTGCGTGGCTTCTGTGTGTTTGGGGTTTAGGGCTTAGGGTTTCAGATTTTAGGCTTTAAGGTAGCTAGCAGTCGGGCTAGAAGTACGGCAACCTACATTACAACCTTCTTTGAGGTACTTATAGCCCTACTTACAGGGACTCGTGAGCCCCCAAGCAGTCACCATAGTAACCAGCTCGAAGAGTGTTGGGGCGTTATGGGGTTTAGGCGTTCTCGTTCGGGCTCTTAAGATCCCACTGCTATCACACCACCCGCCCCCTCCCCCCCTCCCAAAAAAAAAGGGAGAAAAGAGAGTTCCTTAATAAAACAGGGGAACGCTATCAGGGTGTGTAAGCCTAAAAAAAAGGACAGATGACACCCCAGTACAGAGGCCTCAGTCCTAAACCCACCTGAAGCCCGAAGCCCTAAACCTACCTAACCCCTAAACCTACCTAAACCCTAAACCCGATTTTTTCAAACCAAAACCCTAAATCCTAAACCCTAAACCTCCCTATGCCCAAAACCCTCTCAAACCCGTGACTAGCAGTAGGTTTAGGGTACAGGATTTGAGGGTTGACGGGTTAGGGAGGTTTAGGCTTTGGAGTGCAAGTCTAACCCTGGGCCACTTTAAGTGCCTGCAAGGTTGCATGCTCACTGCAAAGGCGTACAGGAAAGTGCCGGCACCCTGCACTTTCCACACAAGCGCGCCGATCGTCAGCAATAGTGGGATAGCCAGCAGCTTCTTTTTTCCTCCACTTTGCTAAGGATTGCTCGGCCCGAGGGTTATAGGGTTTTGAGTTTAGGGCCAACCTCCTAGAACAAGGAGCAGTGCAGCAAGGTCCAGATGCCCCAAAAGCGTGCCCTGTGGCTCCGTCCCACCACTATTTGCTTAAGAAACCCCTTAAAAAAATTAAACAATGATCCCTGTATTGCCCTTATAAGGAGGGATATTTGTTGTTTTTTTGGGGGTTCTTAAGCAAATAGTAGCACATGGCATGCTTCTGGCCTCGGGGAGGATGCCAAACATCCTCCTCTCCCCTAGGCCCCGAGAAAAGCTCGGTACTCGAAATCGTGGCTCCTTAGTAGCTCGCTTCCTGCGTCCAGGTCCAACCTTCAACCCTAAACCCTCAACCCCAACCCTAAACCCTCAACCCTCAACCCTCAACGCTAAACCCTAAACCCTAAACCCTAAACCCTAAACCTGAACCCTGAACCCTGAACCCTGAACCCTGAACCCTGAACCCTAAACCCTAAACCCTAAACCCTAAACCCTAAACCCTAAACCCTAAACCCTAAACCCTAAACCCTAAACCCTAAACCCTAAACCCTAAACCAAACTTCTGGAATTCTTCGCGGCCGAGTGTCGGCTCCCTGTGCCCAAGGCCGCCTCAGCAGCCTGGATGCCGGCAGCAACCCCACGAAAAGGGACTTGCACCTTAGTGTAGGGTTTAGGGTTTAGGGTTTAGGGTTTAGGGTTTCGGGTTTCGGGTTTAGGGTTTCGGGTTTAGGGTCTAGGGTTTAGGGCTTAGGGTTTAGGGTTTAGATTTTTGGGTTTTTGGTTTAGGAGGTCGACAATTCAAATACTCTGCGGCCATAAGACCCTGCCTGAAGGCTATGCGTAATTTGCAAGGAAGGGTTGTGCATGTGTAGTGTTATGTGTTCCTCTCTTTTTCTTGCCGCGAGTGACTGGAGTGTCTCTCCTGCCGACTGCAGTGGAATGGTCTGGTGTCGTCATAGCAGTGAAACCCGAAATCCTAACCCTATACCCTAAATCCTAAGCAAAAACAAAACAAGTTGCCAAAGCTCACCGAAACAAGGCATCTCACAGTTGCTGCACTTGCAGAAGTACGCATGAACCTCTATACCCAAGTAAAAAGGATGCCCTTCTTCGTTTAGTGGGGCTTTTAAGGCAACCTGGCAGGAATAGTAAGGGCCTACTCTGGGTCCTAGCCTAGCCCTTGAAAAGCCATTGTAAAGCCCAAGTCTAAGTCAAGGGACGCTTCCCAGCATTCGAGGGGCTGGCCTTTTCGCCAGGCTCAGAGCAGCTGCTGCAGGTACCTGGACCACGCCATCCTCCGTGGCCACTTGGGCGGAGAGGCCGCTGAATCCCTGCCTCAACATCCGAAAAAGTCTCAAAACCCACCAGGAACCCTTTGCCTTAAATAGCAGCAGGTAATCAGGGCAGTTGCCCTTAACTGTAGAAAGACTGATGCACTTCTCACCCTTTGAACCTGAGAGCTTCAAAAGCCTCCTAAAAGGCTTTTGACAGGATGATGCTTACTGCCACGACGACAACGACGCCGACCACCACCACCACCACCACCACCACCACCACCACCACTTCTACTAGTACTCCCACTAGTACTCGTACTCGTACTCGTACGAGTACTAGTACGAGTACTAGTACTGTCCGGAGCATCCCAAACCATGTGGGGTGGCTTGGGGTGGTGGGGCGGGTACTCATATTGAGAACTCTCTGTCATGCACTCCGCGGGTTTTGGCTTGGGCTTGAACTGCTTTTGGACTTTTGCAAAGGGATCTCAGGGTTCTTGCGTTTAGTCCATCTCATGATTTGATTTACATAGACCCTGGTCGAAACCGTGTCTAATTCTTACCCCAAACCACTGTAAATACTGGTGTTTTCTGCATCCACAATCGTGGAGGGTGGGGGCGGGTGGGTGGCGTTGCCCCTTGGCGACGAAGCAAGACCTAGCCCAGAAGCCAACATGGCCACGAAAAAATTACTTGCATACCCAGCCACTCCCCCCAATTGCCCATGTTGTCCTAGGGGCAGAATGCCCTAAACCAAAAAAGGTTGATCTTTCACAAAAAAAAAATGTGGAAATATTTCTGTATATATATAGAGATAGTAGGATTCTATGTAACCAAAAAGGTTTTGGGTTAACTACCCAGTCCCGAAGTTGTTCTTGCGAGCATATACAACTACTGCGACGACTGCTACTCCAGCGTTTTCCAGATTCCTCACACAACTAACATACAGTTGAATACAATCTGCACATATACTCCTACAACGCTATACAACTACTACGACGACAAATACTACCACTACGCCACCACCACCGCCGCCGCCCAACCTAAACCCTAAACCCTAAACCCTAAACCCTGAACCCTGAACCCTGAACCCTAAACCCTAAACCCTAACAAAAAACGCAGAGCCTTTCAAAAAAGCCCAGCTGCAAACTTCCGTTGACCATCCTTCCGCCCAGGAATCCTGTCAAGCGTTTCCTTAGGAGCACACATACCTGCATGGGCTATTATACCCAAGAACGCCTTCAAAAGACCCTTTATAGGGTTGGTTAGGGGGATTATAGGGTCGAATAGCCCATGCTGGTAGGATCCTTCTAACTCCCGCCTGCTTCGCGTAGATGTTTTTTGCTGGCGTCCTAAACCAAGCGAAGACCCCGAATTGCGGAATTTCCCTCCCAACCCTCGCAAAATCTACAAGGAACCTCAAAGCATTCTAGAACTATGCTCCGGTCAAGAGCTTACACACAAGACGTTAAACTGCTTCGGGTAGAACACAACAAAGATGAAAACATAATCCTAAGATTCCCCTACGTGGACTGGGACTACAGACTTTGGATGAACCCAAAACCCCTCCTGAACCCTTCTTGCACAACCCGAAGCCCTAAACCCTGAGCCCCTCCAAAGCAACTAGCCCTAAACCCTAAACCCTAAACCCTAAACCCTAAACCCTAAACCCTAAACCCTAAACCCTTGCACGGCTTCCAGGGCTCTTCTTCATGGCCCTCATGTGCAGCAGAGCAAAGGCCCTGGCCCCCAGATTTTGCCTGGGGCTTCACTTATCTGATCTTTGCTTAGGGCTTAGGGTTTAGGGTTTAGGGTTTGGGGTTTAGGGTTTAGGGTTTAGGGTTTAGGGTTTGGGGTTTAGGGTGTAAGGTGTAGGGTTTAGGGATCGGAGGAGCATGTAATTAGTGACCTCAAAGACAACGGCTCCTACTCGAAGCACCAGTTGCACACACTGCACCCGGTGAATCGCGATGAAAGCCACGACCGGCAGAAATGCCTTGTCCGGAAGGTTGTGGCCCGACGCGGTGAATGCAGCCCATACCCCACCAGCCAGTACGGCACATGACGCCGAGCTCCGGGCAATCTCGCGTACGACGTCCCCTGCCCCCGGTCTCGCGCCTTCTGGCGTGGGGGGAGGCTCCAAAGCCCGCCATATGAAACGGGAAGCTGGCGGTGCAGACAAGGCTGCCAGAAGCAGAAAAGTCTTCCGGGAAATCAGAATCCCCATCAGCTCCATCATGTAGCCTCCCATGCCTGCTGCAGGTCCGAGCCAGGGACCCATAAGCCGCGTGGCACCATTCCCCGTGATGAAGGCAGCATTGTGCGGGATGAAGGGCACGAGAAATCTCGCCTGTGCAGGCAGCGCCTGCACCACAAGGCAAGCCGCGAAGAATGCCTGCGCCGCTGTGGCAGCAAACCTGACTCAGACTCGAAAGCTGCATCGAAGGGCAACCCCTAAACCCTAAACCCTAAACCCTATAGACCCTTCACCCTAAACCCTAAACCTGCTGCTCAGAATGCGGTCTGTGTGGCTGCACCCCAGAAAGCCGAAAAAAACCCGAAGAGTGTGAAGCCCTCAGCGCCCCTCAACCAGCGCGCCTGACAAAATCAGCGGTTGCCAACGTCACGGCCGACAGCCTTGTCCTGGATGCATCTTCAATCCGGTGTTTAGAAAACAAAGTCACCATCGCCTAAGGTCATATAGTAGTTAAACCATCTAAGTAGGGAATCGTAGCAAGGAGCATCATATGGTACCTTCAGCTCCTTAACGAGAACTCAGAATTCCTCTTGCTTTGGGCTCCCAAAAGCTGATGGATGGATGATGTAGAGCCCGCTAAGCCTAGCACCATGGGCCCTAAACCCCGAGTCTTAGTCCACCTCTACACCTTGCAGGACGAAACTTGGACATCTTCAGGCGCACCCAAAACGTCCTAAACTTGGGATGTTCGCCCTTACACTAACAGTCCTTCATAGGGATTTTAATAGGGGGGGGAGGGGGGTAGAGGGGGGTTACTATAAACTGTATTACGGACTGCCCAACCCTAAACTCTAAACCCTGATACTTCCTTAGGCAGGGGGGTTTAGGGTTTAGGGACCCCAAGCCCCTCAACCCTACAGGACATACTGGTATGCTTACTGGCAAAGGAGGTATGAAACTTTCTCAGGCTTCTTTGCAGCAGAAACTCCTGCCCTGGGAGGCGAATCGTAAGGCCTCGGCGGTTGTGTGGTTCAGGGGGGCCTTGCCACTTCACTTCGCCCGGAGTTAGGGTTTAGGGCCTAAACCCTAAACCCTAAACCCTAAAACCCTAAAACCCTAAAACCCTAAAACCCTAAAACCCTAAACCCTAAACCCTAAACCCTAAACCCTAAACCCTAAACCCTAGGGTCGTGGGGTTCGGCGGGTTGGGGGCGGGTCAGTTTATGGTTTCGGGATCTTCGGGTGTGAAGTTGGAGCTTCTCCGGGTATATCGGGTTAGGGTTTAGGGTTTAGGGTTTAGGGTTTAGGGTTTAGGGTTTAGGGTTTAGGGTTTAGGGTTTAGGGTTTAGGGTTTAGGGTTTAGGGTTTAGGGTTTAGGGCTCGGGGTCTCAAGGTCTCCCATGCAAGAAACAACCCAGAACACAGTCCAGACATGAGAGAGCTATCAACCCCGAGAGGCACTCTCGACCCCTCGAGGAACGACTGATCTTAGGGTTTAGGGTTTAGGGTTTTCGGTTTAGGGTTAGGGTTTAGGGTATAGGGTACAGGGTTTAGGGTTTAGGGTTTAGGGTTTGGGGTGAAGGTTTTTCGAGTTGCCAGGGCTGGGGATTGTGGGCCCTAAACACACCTGTAGGATGCGCATCAGCGGATATGGTCACTTCTCTAAACGAAGGTCCCTATGAGGGGCTCCTACTACAAGGCGGCTCGTAGCATTTGGGTAGTTGTAAGTAGGGTGACAAGTAAGGCACCCTATATAACCTCAATGGAGATACTTGTGACCCTACTTTTATAACTACCCATGAACCTTCCTAAATCCTAAACCCTAAACCCGAACCCTTAAGGTAACTTGGGATGTTCCCCCTTATACTAACAGTCCTTATGGGGATTATCGCCACCCCGATTATAATCCCTACCAAGGACTGCTAGTATAAGGCGGAACATCCCAAAACGCAACCTTCAAGTAGGAAGCCCTAAACCCTAAACCCTAAACCCATGTAACCTTCAAGTAGGAAACCCAAACAAAAGCGCGGCCGTGGGAACCAAGGGCCGCAGCGGACGCGCGGCCCGCTCAGCCAGGTAGCTCGGCGCAAGAAACCTGGGTTTAGGTTTGAGATGGTTTAGGGTTTAGGGTTTAGGGGTTAGGGTTTAGATGGTTTAGATGGTTTAGATGGCTTGGGCTTTGGAGGATCTTCGGGTTTGGGTCTTGGGCTGGAAGCTGAGCTTGGAGTTTAGGGATTCGGTTCCTACAGGTTTAAGGTTCTCAAAACGGAAGCCCGAAGCCCTTGTTCAGCATCTGGTCTCTCACATCACCCCATGAGGGACACTCATGCCCCGCCCGCTTGCAACAGATGTCCCCAAAACACCCCGAATAAGTTCCACTGGAATCAGGAAGCTTTAGGGTTTAGGATTTTTTGGCTTGAGGGGTTTAGTGCTTTTAGGGTAGAGTGGCCACAAGATGGAGCACGCCGTGAAGGCCGCAAACAGGACTTCGTGGCCCTTGCTTCTGAAGCACATGACCTGACGGCAAAGAGTTTGAGATCCAGGGTTGCAGACAAATCTCAGACGACAGGGTCCATAACTTGGCTATAAGAGTTGATATCGTTGATGTGGGCTTCTGTGTTCAACGTTTAGGCCTCTTGATTGTAGGGCAGCTAGTAATAATCGATGCCTATAGCATTGAATCATGGTGTGCCTGCACGAGGTGACCACAAGCTGAATTCCGACACTTGCTCCCGGAGCACTTGCAGCCCTCCTAACCCTAAACCCTTGTACAGTTTACATCCAGGAACCCTAAACCCTAAACAGGCCCTAAACCCTAAACCCTGAAACCCTGAAACCCTGAAACCTAAGCCCTAAACGAAGACCGAAGAGACAGCAAAAGGTGCGCTCGCCACCCTTCAAGCCGCGACTATGCAATAGAGGGTACCAAAGTCCCGAAAGCGTAGGAACTCTTTCTCTTGCTTTCTTTGCTCCTCCTCTGCACCATCTGCGTCCCCCCCCCCCCCCCACGTACTCTACTTCCACAAAGTCTTGTGAAAATACCACATGTTCAACCCTATCAGCGATTGCAAGGTTGAGTTTCTAAACCCTAAACCCAAAACCCTAAACCCTGAACCCCTCAAACCAACAAGAGGAGCCTCCAACACCACGGTAAAGGGGTTGATCAAAATTATTGGGGCCTAGGCTCAGCTCTCAGGTTCTCAGAAGTCTCTCAAAGAAGGTTAGGGTTTAGGGTTTAGGGCTTAGGGTGTAGGGTGTAGGGTTTAGGCCAATGCTTACCCCCAGACACGTCTCAATGGCAAAGGAGCTTCTGGAAAGTCCTGAACCCTGAGCCCTAAATCTCCCGCCCTATGACCCCAAAGCTCCGAGGCGTCAACGTCCCAAGACTCCAGAGCAACCTGGTAAACCGGCCGTAAAGTTGAGGGTTCGGGTTCGGGGCTTCAGTTTCAGAAGCTTCCACTCTGTTGACCAAAGCGTTTTTCCCAAACCCCAACCCCCCAAAATCCCCCTCCACCCTCCATGCCTCCCGCACCACTGGCGAGTAGACCCAGCGAAGGAGGGCCGCAGCCGCGAAGACTAGCCCCAGCGTCCTTAGAAGCCAGTGGAAGAAGCCCTAAACCCTAAACCCTAAACCCTAAACCCTAAACCCTAAACCCCAAATTCTGTTGCCTGAGCTCTTGTTTCCTAGGCCCAAGCTTTGCCAGGTGCAGCACCTGTACATCTCAGAGTCTTACGTCCCATGATGGCCTCTAAGTACAGGGCTTTGGGTACGCAGCCAGCATGGGGTTTCTTAAAAATTCCTACGAAAAAGCTGTCAGTTTAAGGGGGAACATCCAAACTCTAGCCCACTTAACTACACTCCCCTAAAACCTCAATAAAAGTAATATGTTTAATATCTTCTTGGGTTTTAGATAAACACCCTAAACCCTAAACCCTAAACCCTAAACCCTAAACCCTAAACCCAAGGGGGATCTAGGCCATGGAACAGCGCAGCTGGCGCCATGCTGGCGCTCACGGTCGGCTGCTGGGCGCTCGAGCGCTGGGGAATCTTGGCGACGCGCCGGCCTCGACAACATCAGGTTTAGGGTTTAGGGTTTAGGCTTTAGGGTTTAGGGTTTTGCCACCCGCAGGGTTTTAGGGTTTAGGGTTTAGGGTTTAGGACAGCAGCTGCAGCTGTGGGTTGAGGATTAAGGCTTCTAGGGTTCTCAAGGGAGGGGGGTTCAAGGATTCTAGGGTTCTTAAGGGCCGGAGTTTTTGTTGTTGCCTGTGCTGTGGTGATGAGTTTTGGGCTGGGACTCCTACTTGAAGGCACATGGGTGGCTATGTCTATATATATTTCTATATGTATGTATATACCAGGAGTGAAGAGGGTACCCTTTTTGGCCTGCAGGGGCTTATAAGGGAACAGAAAAAAGGGGAACAAGGGCCCTACCCTGGGGTCCAAGGCACTTATAGGGCTGAGCATGGGCTTCGCGAGTACCCTAATTAGGGTATCAAAAGGGGGGGGGGGGGGCATCTAGACCCGGGAGTAACCTAGGGAGTAAAAAGGGTACCCTTTTTGGTATTAAGGGGATTATAAGGGGATTATTACAAGGGAACCCCAACCCAAAAAAAAGGAAAAAAGGGCCTACTCCCGGTCCTAGGCCATCGAAGGCTTCGGCTCTCGCGATCGCACGCGGCAGTCAGGGGTTCGGTTTTTGGGGGCTTTAAGTTTGAGGGGTCCAAAGAGGTACAGTTGAAAGCCTAAACCCTGTCGAGCAACGGACTTTGAGATTGCCGGCACACAACCTTAAACCCTCACCCTAAACCCCAAACCCTAAACCATCCTAAACCCCGCTATCCTGCCTGAGCCTTGTCTTTGAAGGCCCCAAGGGTGCGAGGGAGCAGCCTGCGGTTGCACAACGGTCATTGATGAGGTGAGTGTAGGGTTTAGGTTCTATATAAATGTCCACTTTTGTGCTTGTATGATGGGGTTCATAAGGGAATCCTGAGCCCCCAACAAGAACAAGGGGAATATGAAGAACAGCTCGGGGCATCCGAATCTTCGGAGGATTTGGGGGTTACGAAAATAGGGGACCCCAATATAGACCCCCAAATAGTAGGATCTTATAATAAGGACCCAATAAGGTACCCCCCCCCCCCCATTTTCGTAAACACCCATTTGGCGTGGAGGAGTTTAAGGGTTTTTTTACGGCTTTGGCGTGCGGGGGGGGACTCAGGAGGCAGCATTCGGGGGCTCAAGGGTTCGTAGGAATGAAAGGGCGCCCTTTTTGGTTCAAAGGGGCTTGCCAACAAAAAAGGAATAAGGGGCCATACGGCATCAGCAATGCCAGAGCGTGTGTTGCAGGACAGCGCCTTGGAAAACAAGGGCCAGTGTGGCCAGCAGTGGCCTCTTCCGTGCAGCTCCACCGTAACCTTCTAAACGATAACTTGCGGGGGGGCGCCCTGGCTCAGGGCCCCCTACAGAACCCTATAACCCCTAAACCCTGAACCCTAACCCCTAAACCTGAACCCTAAACCCTAAACCCTAAACCCTAAACCCTAACCCCTAACCCCTAACCCCTAACCCCTAACCCCTAAACCCTAAACCCTAAACTCTGAACCCTGAACCCGAACCCTAACGAGGGGTGCAAGCCCAGAAGCCTGCTGAGATGTGATGGCTGGCGTCGCTGTGAAGGCCGGTGCATGCCCCAGCAGAAGCAGTGACACCGCCGCGAGCCTCGTCTTGGGTTTAGGGTTTAGGGTTTAGGGTTTAGGGTTTAGGGTTTAGGGTTTAGGGTTTAGGGTTTAGGGTTTAGGGTTTAGGGTTTAGGGTTTAGGGTCTAGGGTCTAGGGTTTAGGGTTTCGGGTTTAGGGGTTGGGAAAGCCCTGTAAGCCCTAGACCGCACATAGGTTCAGTAGCGTTCCAGAGTCTGGTTTTAACACCACTGTTCTTCCTGTTGGATGCTTTGTGGCTTCAATTCATGGCTACGAAGATGAGCAGCTATTGTCAGAAACGGTCTGGTTTGGGAGGCTGTGGGTTGACCAAACCCACATCTGATGTGTAGAAAACCCGATGCGATTTGCGGGTATCTTTGAGCTAAGAATTTGAGAGCACCCTAGTGTGGGTGAGCCGACTTCTTAAGAATTCTTCCCCAGAGGGGAGCCTGCAAGCTGCCTCTCCGGCCGCGAGCCCGAAAACAAAGCTTTTTTCATCTCTTGACCGACACTCTTAATCCCGTAGTGTGACCTACCACCGTATACCTAACCCCAGTTTATACCTATGTAGCCCTACACCCAGAACCGTATGACGTTTGTAAGTAGACCCCTACAAAGCCCCCAAATCAACCCCAGGCCCGTTCAACCTTCTGAGCAATGCTCCAGCATGAGCGCGTCTCTTGAATCCCAATAGAAAGAACGTTGTTAAATATTCCAAGGGCCTAGTTGAAGGCTCATCAGGGGTAGCTATAAGTAGGGATAGCCTATATTTTAGCCTTCCTTAAGGTGCCTATGATCCTACTTCTAACCCTAACTAAGGTACATATGACCCTACTTATCACCTTAATTAACGAAATTATAACCCTACTTGTTTCTACTCCTGAACCTTCAAGTCGCGGTTATAAAGCTCAAGGGTTCAAGGAATGGGGGCTTCTTAGGTATCTAGGGACTATATAAGGTTTTTACCGGGGTTCTATGGGGGAAAAAGACTCAGGGTCCCTTCTAGGGGTCCCGAATTACCCCAAAACCCTTTTTGAGCAACGGACTTTGGAGGCTGCCGGCAAACATGCAACTTCTTAGAAGTCACATCACGCAAAACATCACGCAAACTGTCCTACGCACCCATATCACCATGAGGAAGCCTTAAACCCTAAACCCTAAACCCTAAACCAAGGGTCCCTCTCCTTTTGCCCCTTAAAACAGCCAAGCGGCAGCAGCGCACCTTTGGCGGCGTGGAGTGCCATAGTTCCCGCCATTTTAGGGGCGTTCTCGCGCTGCGGCCCTTGTCGTTCTAAACCCTAAACCCTAAACCCTATATAGACCCTTGAACCCTCACAGCCACCTCAGAAATGGGCCTAAATCCCAAACCCGAAGCCCCAGGCCGAACTGCTTGACGCCTTCTGTGCAGCCTTCCACATATGTGCGCCTGCCGCAAGCGGCGCGTGCATGCAAAACAGCTGCTGCATATATGGTTCGGGTCCATAGAGCTTAGAGCTTATGCGAGTTGTCCAGTAACCAGGGGGAATTAAGGGTTAACCTTTGGGATTATAAGAGGAGTATACTACCCCAGAAAGGTTAAAGGTTACCTACTCTACTACTGGGTCCCAAAACCCTAAACCCGAAACCCCAAAGCTATGATCTAAGGACATCCCATAGGCCACACGAAGATCAAGGAAGGAGCACGCGGCAGCGAGAGCGCATCTGAAGATGCTCTTTGGTTGGCTGTACTTTTTGAGGGTTTCGGGTTTAGGGTTTCGGTTTAGTCGTGTTAACCTGCAGCTGCAGGCGGAAAGCACTGCTCCTGCTTGTCTTGTGATCGGCAACATTGGTCCTTGGTCTTAGCTGCAACACGTGAGGCTATGCCTCTGCAGCAGGTGCCACTCTCTTTCTGGCCGTTTAGGGTTTCGGGGTTTAGGGGTTTAGGGTTTTACAGGGAGTGCTGTCAAGTTACAGCGCGGGCCGGCTAAGAAGGGAGGGGCACCTGCCACACATGTGAGACCGTGTCAGCCCAATTTCAGCGAGCGAAACTTGAGCTCAGCCTCTCAGACCTTAAACTGAGATCGGCGACAAACCCAGGCTGTGGGGGAGAAGCCCTCACAGCAAGGCAGGGCAAAAAACCCTAAACCCTTTTAATTTTCCAGCCAGAAACCCTAAACCCTAAACCCTTTTGCAACCAGGCCCCTAAACCCTAAACCCTAAAACCCTCAATGAGGGTAGTAAGGGGGGCTGCCCGAGTTTGGGACATGCACACCATCTTGATATAGGGGCCTTAAGAGATGTAAAACAGGGTTTTGGGTGTTCTTGTATGACTATTAGTATGCAGGGACCATAAGGGAATACTAGTAATCATTACGACATAGTAGGCCCTGCCCTGCTCCCTCAGCCTGCAAGTTTGTTCGACGTTGTCATGTTGCTGAGTGATTATCTGCGCGTGGAAAGCCTCAAGAAGCCTTCCAGGCTCGTGGGTCGTTGTAAGTAGGGTGTTAAGTAAGGTAACCTGCATTCCTGCATTGTAAGCTTAATAGTTAGGGCACCCCTAAACCTAAACCCTCCACCCTACTTATGACTACCCACGAACCTTCGACAGGCCCTTGATGTCCGCCTTTTTCACCCTCCCGACATTCTTGAAAGGCCCGCGAAAGTAGAGCCCCGATTGTGCCTCCGCACCTTTGCTTTCGGGATCTGCTCCCAAAAGATCCCAAAGGCCCTGAACCCAAAACCCTCAACCCAAAACCCAAACCCTAAAGGCCCTAAAGGTCCTGAAGAGCCTACAAGGCAAATGGAAAGCAAGACCCCTTCGGGACATCAAGCTGCCGGAAAAAGCCGCTTTGATGCGGCTGTTCAGGTACAGTAACAGGAGCTCTTCCACTGCCCGCCGTTTCGCTGACGGAAGGAGGATCGGCCAGGTTCGGGGTTCAGGGCTACATATGCATCAAGCTCCGCATTCTCGACCTGCAACTCATCTCGCGCAAACCCCAAACCCTACGTAAGCCCTCAACCCTCAACCCTAGTGACCCTATCGTGGGCAAGGACAGAAGCGCTCGTGTGCGAGAGGCCGATCTCCGGGGGGGCACCCCGTAGGATGCAGTCCGCTGCAACACTGAAAACCTTTGGCAGCGTAGCAGGGGCTCCACTCCCAGGGCGCATGTGCGGGCGGGTCCGGCAAAGCCTCAGGAAGCGCTGGCGCTGGGCAGTAGAAACCCTAACCACCCCAAACCCCCCTAAACTCCTCCCCCCCCCCCCAAAAAAAAAAAAGCTCAAAAGCCCCAAACCCTAAACATCCCTAAACCCTATCCCTACCCCCCCTCCAAAAATCACTTAAAAACCCTATGAATTATAGGGGCCATGCAGCTGCGAGAGTCTTGGACAGGGCACCGCATGCTAACTTTTTCCAAGTTCGGCTCTCCTACCTTTGGGATTTTGCCCCTTTTACTATCAGTCCGTAATGAAGGACTGTAGGGATAAGGGGGAACATCCCAAACTCCTACCTGTTAATGGTTGTTGCAATACGGAAACTGGAATTCAGGGTAACTACTAGAAGGCCGTGAAATGCGGGGTGCCCGGATAGAAGGCTTCTAAACGACCGTCGGAAAGCGACCTTGACTTGCTATCATCTGTCAGTGAGCCTAAGCCCGACATCCTAACACCCGCAAGACATCGACGTCCCCGCCTCACGCGACTCAGAAAAGCCCGAACAAACAGAACAATGTGAGCAGGTGCTTTGAGACGTGCATAGTTTTGGCCACCGCTCTCTTCTTTCCTGACCTGTCTTCTTAGGGTTTGGGGTTTGGGGCGAATTTCCCTGTCTCATAGGACTCGTGGGTTTTGGGGTGGAGATTCTTGTTTCGCCCTTGTGGTCCCCTTTTACTACGAAAACTTCTATCTTCTCTATACTTCAATAGGAAAGCCTCTATTTGCTCTACGTCTGAATAGGAAAACCTCGATCTTCTCCATCTTTTTATACGAAAACTTGAGGTTTCCGTATCTGTGAAAAGAAAACCTCCATTCACTTTCATACTTGAAGAGGAAAACCTCCATTTTCTCAAATAACTACGAAGCCGGGAGGCATTTGGAACACAAGCTTCTGACCCAAGGGCCCTTCCTTCAGAACCCTTTAAAGAAGCCAAGGGACCATTTTCGAGAACCCAGGTACCGACCCTTAGCAGCAGGTCCCTAACCCCTGTGTACTCCAGCGTCTGGGCCCCCGGGCTGGGGCATTAAGAATCAGAAAGTCTCTTCAAGCTGCGGCACGTCGTCCTGAAGCTCGCCTTAGAAGTCGGACTGAAGCTTCCCCCCTCGCTTCTCCCCCCCTCTCTCTCTCTATCTCTCTCTCTCTCTCTCTCTTTCTCTGTCTCACGCCCTTCTTCTCTTCAATGCGGAAAATGAAGGTTCCTAGCAGGGAAGATAGGAAATAAGGGCTGCCATATCTGAGCGGGGCACATGGGATTGGCTGGGGTGTTACAGTTGCGGTCTCCAAGCTGGTGTGTTGGCCCTGTGCTTCAAAAGCCTGAGCTCTACCCTCCCTTTTGACTGCAAAGCTTGAAGGCGCCGGGTTGTGGTCACCTCAAAACCATTCTGCAAGTGGACCGCCGGACATAGTTGGGGTTGGGGCCATGTGGTCTGGGTAAAGAACTTAAGAGGCTGACTTGCTGGCCTAGACCCTCGCTGCAGGACGATCTTTCCGAGCGGCTCAGATCAAACACTTCATCCTCCTCACGAGATGGGGCTGGTAACCCTCAACCTTTAAACCCTGAACCCCAAACCCAGATGCCAGCAGGAAAAAACGTTTCTTAAGATTCCCGCAGCCCTCAACCCCAAACCCTACAAGCAATCACATATTGTGGTAGCCTCACAGTAGGAACCTAAACCCTAAACCCAAACCCTAAACCTAAACCCTAAACTGCCCTAAAGCCGAAATCCCTGTACCTATGTTATCAGGTAAACCCATCCAAGGGCTTCTGCCTTGAGGCTGTCCCCGAACAGCCAAGACTTCCGCAAATCAGAGGGCTGCTGTTTCCCATGTGCTGCCTTTCTTGCTTCCCTAAACCCTAAACCCTAAACCCCAAACTCTAAAACCCTAAACCCTTAGGCTTTTGAGTTCAGGGTTAAGGGCCTCACTGGTGCTAGGGCCTTGGGCCTAGGGCTTTGGGCCTAGGGTGTTGGGTTTAGGGTGACAAAGCGACCCTTCAACCAGAACCCACCCCAAAACCTAGCCCCCTTCTGCAAGTGGGGTCCTCTTCGCCCTCCTCTCCTTCGTAGTAGCCATCCGATTGTCCATCAATCTCCTGCCCCGCACAGATTGGCGACAAGGGCTGAGGACTCAATGTTTCTCTTAGTCTTTCCCATTCCCATCCCTAAACCCTAAAACCTAAACTCTAGAGCTTATAAACCCTAAGCCCTAATTACCGAACCCCATCTCTACCAGTGGGACCTGCACTTGTGGGTCCACGTCCAGCGTCACCGTCTTCTGGACGAGGACTGTCGAGCCCTCCAGCTCCTTTCAGGGCGGTTTAGGGTTTAGGGTTTAGGGGTTTAGGGTGGGGTTTACAGTTTAGCAATGCACTCTTTGGTTGGGTTTTTTTTTGAGTTTGGGATTGGGATTTTCAGAGGCTTCTAGGGCTGTAGCGTCATGGGCTGTGGGCTTAAACTTAGGGGCTGAAAACCCTAGCCCAAGAAGGTGTGGGTGCATAAGCCCCCAAAAAGTTTACATTTTCAGTGTTATAGGGGGTTATAGTATCCCAAAAAGTGTAAAGTGTACTCACTCAGCTACTAAGAACCTCCTATGTGTAAGAGGGTTTATTTGGGCTCTGCTGGGGCTTCTCGTTGGTTTTTTGTGCCATCTGCACGCACCTTAAACCCTACAAGCCCTAGAAACCCTATAATATACCCCGTGCACATCCTATAAAGCCTGGAAGCCCTAGAAACTTAGAAACCTGAAGCTGCAACTGCAGTTGCTCCGTCGCACTCTGTGTGGGGTTCCAGTGCAGCAACGGGCCCAGAAACAAACTCATCTTCATGTGGCTTGGGTTCACGAGCTTTTTTAGTGTTTCAACAGTTTCATGAACCTGTAGATGTGGGGTTGCCTAGATCATCCTTGTACCATATTATGCCATACTATACCATCTTGTACCATCTCATTCCAAACTATGCCAGATTATACCATGCTCTATGCAAATTATGCCTAGTTTGTAGCAGCTTCTCAGTTGGGGGAGGTTCGACCTACTCGGGGCAGCGAGACGCACTTTGAGGCTCTTTGAGGCTGGTGCCCCACGCGCTGGATTGGGGCCCTGTTTCGGGTTTCGGGTTTTGAGGGGCATGCCTTTTTAAGAGGGGACAGGTCAGGGCTGTTTTCCTTGTGAGACTTTGGGGTGTTGGAACTACCCTAAACCCTAAACCCTAAACCCTCAACCCTAAACCCTGAACCCTTTAATGCGGGGGGTGAGGGGGTCAAGAGAAATCTGACCCCCGGCCTGTTGTCCCTCCTCCTCTGGGAGCTGCCGGCCCTGGGCCTTGTACCTTGGTTCTATGGGTAGTTACACTTAAAGAGGGCAACCCTAAACCCTAAACCCTAAACCCTAAACCCCAAACCCTAAACCCTAAGCTTCAGAATCCTTCCAGAAGGTAGGGGAGTAAGTGCTCTTAGATTGGGCTGTTACGGTTTGAGGCGTTCCGGTGCCGGGCTTGGGGGGTGACAGCCTCTCCAAACGCGCCTCCGCAGCTTCCCTGACATCTCCACCCTACTCTCCTCCAACATCGATTGCCCTAAACCCTAAACCCTAAACCCTAAACCCTAAACCCTAAACCCTAAACCCTAAACCGTGGGTTTAGGCTTTGAGGTTTAGGGTTTAGGGTTCAGCCTCCTCTTATGCTTACATCCTGGGCCACATCGTTCAGAGGCAAGTCGCGGCGCGCTCGCAGAAGAGGTCTCCTGGGAAACAGCTGGCCCAGCTGCGGCTGCCGTGGCTCCCGCGCTTCGGCTGTCCGACTCCCTCCTGACCACTGGCCCTTGAGGCCTCGGTTGCCCAGTAACTTAGGAATCTAAAAGGGTGCCCCCTTTTTTGCTTAAAGGGGTTTATAAGGGACTTTTTTGCTTCAAGGGGTTATTATAAGGGACCCTAAACCCACCCAACAAAAGGGAATAAGGGCACTACTGGGCCATCCCAGAGGCGGTGTCTCGGCAGGAGTCGAGGCCGGCGCTTGGGATGACGGCGTGATGCTTGATGGACTGACCATCTCATGAGGAGGTATCGTTTGCACAGGAGGGGCCACCACGTCCACCTCTCCATCCTCGTCCCCTCCCTCCAAGTCCCCATAGGACTGTAGGAAGTTCGGGGACACAGGCGAGGTCGGTGAGCCCGGGAAGGCCTTGGGTGTACAGGCCCTACAAACAAGCACCTCGAGCTTTCTTAGTACTCACCCCAAACCCAAACCCTAAACCCTAAACCCTAAACCCCAAACCCCTCTAAACCCTAAAGGCCTGCTGAGCTTAACTCCCAAGAGGCCCGCTGGTAGGGGAGGTCGCTGTTTGGCGAGGCGGCGCTGGCGCCACTCGCGCTGCCGTGCCGCTTCGGTGTCCATGCCACGTCCGGGATCGGCTCTTGCCTGCGCACGGAGGGGCTTAGGGTTTTAGGGTTTTAGGGTTTTAGGGTTTTAGGGTTTTAGGGTTTAGGGTTTAGGTACCCTGGCTTTAAAATCCCAGAAGAACCTAAGAACAGAAAAGGGTGCCCTTTTTGGGGTCAAATACCTTTTTGGGGCTTCTTCGGGTTGAGAAGGGAACTTAAGCCAATAGAAAAGGGGGAATAAGGGCCCGCCAAGGCTCTCAAAATCTGGAGTTAGGGCCGCACACACGCCCAGCAGGAAAATCATCGGACCCCCCGGGCCGGTCTCCATGATGTGGAGTTTAGGGTTTAGGGTTTAGGGTTTAGGGTTTAGGGTTTAGGGCCAGGGTCTTTTTGCCACTTCTCGATTTGTGCCAAGGGTTTAGGGTCCCCGGGCGCTTGTAAAGCATTCAGGGTTTGGGGTTTGAAGGTCGTCAAACCTGATCTTGGCGCAGTTGGGACCTGGAGAACCCTGAGCCCCAAACACTAAACTTGGGATGTTCCCCCTTGTACTAACAGCCCTTTTTAGGGATTATAGCACCGACTATTATAATCCCGATTAAGGACTCTTGGTATAAGTGTGGAATATCCCAACACTAAACCCTAAACCCTAAACCTTCTGCAATCCGAAACCCTACGCCCTAACCCTTGTAAGGTTGCCAGGTTCAGGTCAAAGGCCAAGCTGCCCGTTGAAGCCATCGGACCGCAAGGCCACCGCCTGAGTGCTGGCTCAGAGCTGCGGTTGCGGGATGAGGGTGTCTAGGGGTGAAAAGACCCTGGTAAAAACCCTAAACCCTAAACCCTAAACCCTAAACCATTCTAAGAAGGTGTTGGGATGTTCCCCCTTATACTAAGAGGCCTTCGTAGGGATTATAATGGGGGGACGGGGGGGTACTATAAGGCTTATTCAGGACTGCTAGCATGAGGGGGAACATGCCAACGTGTATAAGGGTTGAAAGTTTGAAGTTTTTACTTTTCTTTGTTTTTAGTTGTTATTTATGTGTTTTTTTTGTTTTTTTTTTTTTTTTTTTGGGGGGGGGGGGTTGTCTTTCGGGGGAGGGTTTAGGGTTGAGGGTTTATAAAGGTTTGGGGAGGAAGCCCACTACATCAACACCAAGAAAATAGTAAGCCAACAATTGGAGCAAGTTCCTATCTTCAGGAAGGCACAGGCAAGCAAATCCAATTCAAACCACCCGCCGAGATCGCCCCCCAGGAAAAAAACTCAAGCAGCAAACCCTAACCCGAAAACCCAAACAATGCAAACATACTTGAATGTTCATGCGAAGTAAGTCTGGTAACGTTTGTGATATCCTTCACGAATGTACTTACAACTCTGGACTCTAAACCCTAGTGTTAACTACCCGTGACCACGAAATGCACGTCAAGCTTTTCATGCAGAGAGTTTCCGGGCTTATGTCACAACAGCAACGTATACCAACAATCACTTCCAATGAGTTTCGGTAAGTCACTGCGTCGAACCCCCCCGCCCCTCTCCTTGAGCCTAAAACCTAAAACCCTGTTGGGGTGAGCCGAACAGCCACGCTGCACTGAGGTCGACCAGCATTGGGAGCTTCACCAGCCAGGCGATATCCGTCTGGCGCACCAATCCTGGAAGGGCTCGGAAGGGCGCTTGGTGCATGTCAGAACGTGGCGCAGCCCTCATCCCGAACTGCAGAAGTGGAGGTCAAGTCACAGGCTTCACCGAATAACCCTCCTCCCCCCTTCAATATTGCCTGCAAACGTGAGGAGTTACATACATCTCTAAAGTCCTGAACGCTAAACCCTACACCCCTTTCGGGCTGAACATGAAGGTCTCTAGAGGCGGTGGTTCGGGGATGGTAGTACCGGGCGTCCTGGCCTCAAACCCTGTCAGGTCCCCTGTCCCTGTGTGCGCACGCATCCCCAACTGCCCATACACCCTGCAGCCTCCGCACGTAAGCAGGCGATGCCTCCCCCCTGACAGCGTCCTGGCGGATGGAAGGTGTGCCCTCCGTCGGAATCGAGGAGGTCGAAGATGGTGGTGGCCTGCTGAAGGTTTTGCCATACATCCGGGGGTTTAAAGCACTAAACCCTGAACCCTAAACCCTAAACCCTAAACCCTAAAACCTAAAACCTAACCCCCCTATGTAGGGTTTAGGATGCGTGGCCTGCCTAGGACGTAGGGAAAGCGAGAAATGATATGAAGTAGGGTATCTATTTCTCTTGTACCCCCAGAAGGACATCAGGTATATACACTTACCAATATTAAACAGGAACCTTATATACACTCACCAATAACAGAAATATACACCCTACTTCATATGAGGCTCCTTGGGCTTAGGGCACCGGCAGGTGCGGGTGCTCCTACAGAGTCAGCCCTGCCTTCGAGCCTTTTGCTTGGGGTTTAGGGTTTAGGGTTTAGGGCTTAGGGCTTAGGGCTTAGGGCTTAGGGTTTAGGGTTTAGGGTTTAGGGTTTAGGGTTTAGGGTTTATTTTTTTAACAACCCTTCACTCCTTTTCGGGCGAGCTTACAGCTAGGGTTTAGGGTTTAGGGTTTAGGGTTTAGGGTTTAGGGTTTAGGGTTTCAACAAAACTTATCAACCCTGAGTGCATGCAGGACATCAGTGACTATGCATACTGAGACATCGGCGTACATCTGTTCTCCAACCCTTGAACCACTGGACTACTTGAAGCAACCATCTTACGAACATGGGACAGTTCATTCTTCTCCTACATTCATCCACTGCGTGACTATGTAAGGCGAGTTCGCCCGGACTTGCTGACTTTGGTACGAGTACTTGCACTCCTAAACCGAAAATATTCGATCACTCTCTGAATGTAGTAGTATATAACTACACTGCTATGCACGAGTCATTATCATGTTCTTGTATCTTATCATGTTCTTGTATCATCATACATGAACAACATTGTCATATTATCTGTCCCGCCTGCACGGCGGAGAAGCCAAGCGCTCGAGTCAGGATGAAAGTAAACTCCTTCAGATGGGCTTTCAGTTTTGCTGAGGGCTTCTGAAGTCTTCAACCAAGAAGGAAGGATTGGGGCTCAGGGCTTAGGGGCGTCTAAGCCCCAAGCCCTAAGCCCTAAACCGCAAGCCCTACGCCCTACGCCCTAAGCCCTAAACCCGCAACCCAAAACCCCAAACCCTAAACCCTTAACCCTAAACCCTAAACCCTAAACCCTAAACCTTAAACCCTAAACCCTAGACCTTTTCGGGGTTTAGGTGTAGGGCTTGGGGAAGCAGCCTCCAAGACCGTGAAGGGACTCAGGGCCCCTCAAGTCTCCGCAAGAAGGCCAGTTGCGCTTTAGGGTTTAGGGTTTAGGGTTTAGGGTTTAGGGTTTAGGGTTTAGGGTTGAGGGACCCTGTGAGGAACTCTTAACCCCCTTCAAGACCGGTTCCGGTAAGGCGAGGGACTGCCCTTGTGCTTGGAGGTTCATGGGTAGTTCTAAGTAGGGATAGAAGCACCTCAATTAAGGTTCTAATATAGGGTTAAGGGCGGGTTAAGATTTTAGGGTTCTAAGTACCTGAATTAAGGAACAAATCTAGGGTTATAATAGCGGGTTATAATGATTGTCGGACTTTTGGGGTTGAAGTGCTTCCAGTGCTACGCCCCTTGCAACCAAGCTGCGTTGATGACGAAGCGGTCGGACCGTGCTGGCTGCACAATCTGGGTCATCTTCAGCCAAAGATCCTGAACTTCCCAAGACTTTGACATTTTTGTCTGAAACCCGAAGCTCTCGCTTAGGACACAGAAGGCCTATATTTGGTGCTATAGGTTTAGGGTCTAGGGTGTGAGGTGCTATAAGCTTCACGACTCGTAACCCGGCCCGGTGCCTGAATCGTGCGAAGTCCCACCAGGTAGCTTGTTGAAGATAGCTGAAAAATGAGAATCAGCCCAAACCCCAAACCCCAAAACCCCAAAAACCCCAAAAACCCCAAAAACCCTAAACCCCAAACCCCAAACCCTAAACCCTAAACCCTAAACCCCTAAACCCTAAACCCCAAAACCGCCCCGTCCTCCGGCGTGGCCTCTTCGGATGGAACATTTGCAAGCTTCAGGAGCCTGCTTCACGGTTTAGGGTTTAGGGTTTAGGGTTTAGGGTTTAGGGTTTAGGGTTTAGGGTCTGCTTGAAGGCTCATGGGGGTTAGAAGTGGGGCTGTGTAAAGCGCCTTATATAAGGTTAAGGCTTAGGGTTTAGGGATTAGGGTTCTATATATTGAAGGTTCATCCGAAGGTAGCTTCTAAGTGGGGCGATTTCAAGCGCCTTATGTAAGGTTAAGGTTTAGGGTTTAGGGATTAGGGTTCTATATTATATTGTGGGGCTATTTGAAGCGCCTTATATAAGGTTAAGGTTTAGGGTTTAACCTTATATTGTAACCTTAAGGTACTTTAAACCCTACTTACAGCCAACCATGAAGCTGCAAGTGCCAAACCGGATGTTTGCTGCATTGGCTGTTGAACAGCCTCCAGGCATGACCAAGCAAGTCCCAACGCTGTCGGTCTTAGGGAACAAGGCCAATAATATTCATGGTAATACGGGAAGTTTTCATGAATACTACTATGGTTGATGTATGGTTCAACATCACAGAAATACTAGACATATTTAACGGATATTGAAATACCATGGTTCTATGTAATTATACGGTTCAAAATCATGGAAACACGCAAAAAACAAACAATGTTAAACTACTCTGGTTATGTCTGTGTATGGTTCAACTCAAGCGATATGGCGGCCGACATGGTGCTGTGATGTTAGCCAATATCTGTTCTCGGCCGCCTGATCGAAAACCCTAAACCCTGTCTCTCTCTCTCTCTCTCTCGCACGTACTCCCACCCTAAACCCAAAATCCTATACCCTAAAGCCCCGTCTTTCAACATGAAACTTGGTCAGCATGCTTCTCTTGGAGTGAGGGCGCGCGCATCTTCGCTGGACAGCATACTGCTGAAGCAGTTCTTTGGTTGGGCTTCCGGCTCAGCCTTGGTTGATGCTGCGTTTCCGCATTCTTGTCTCAACCCGACCAATACTCCGCAACCGGCTACCTGTTTGCCATTGAAATCCAACTTGCGAAGCCTCTAGCTCCCTCTCCCTGACGTGCCTAGCACGGAAGGTCGCCAGCATGCCTGACCAGGGGCGGAACTCTCGACTTGAAAAAGGAGGTACAAGTGATTTTGATGCATCTTTGGCAGGGAAAAAACTCAAGCTGTAGAGTTTGATCTATAATCGATGCCAAGCATATACATTGACTGAAGCTCCTTTTGGTGACTTTTGTTTCGTGCGGACTGCACATTATGACGCTTCCTCAGGTTGTCACAAAAGTGGGGTTCGTACCGATTTCAACACAAACTTTTTTGCTGCCTCTACATATACTAAGAACCATGCTTCAGTGGCCTGTTATGAGATGTCATGGGTTTCACAGTGTTTGAGAGAAACTCGCGTACGTTGCAGGAGCTCTTTCCTTTCTTCCTTCCATCCTTCCCGTTTTGCTTCCTTCCCTCCTTCCGTCCCTTCCATGGGACTGTTTATTACGTCTTGAATCTAGAACGCAGATGGACCTTTCCTCCAGGCTCTGCATGAAACTGGAGGGCCCTCTACTCTCAGCAGAGGGAACAGAGAAAGTTGGCCCGCCGTTGGCTAAGCTGTACTCATGCCTAATAAGAACCGAGGGCCTTAGGGCTTAAAAGTCAAAGATAAAGGTGTTCCCTGAAACAAGTTTCGAACATGTTTATTTGATCCCCAAAGGTTTAGGGTTTAGGGTTAGGGTTTAGGGTTTAGGGTTTAGGGTTTAGGGTTTAGGGTTTAGGGTTTAGGGTTTAGGGTTTAGGGTTTAGGGTTTAGGGTTTAGGGTTTAGGGTTTAGGGTTTAGGGTTTAGGGTTAGGGTTTTAGGGTTTAGGGTTTAGGGTTTAGGGTTTAGGGTTTAGGGTTTAGGGTTTAGGGTGTGTCAGGGGAGGGCGCGCGCTCGGGTGTGAAACACCCCGGGCCGCGCGCTCGCATTGCCCGTCAACCCACCCCGGCCACCCAAACTATACTCTATTAGGGATTAGGGTTTATGGAACTTTTCTTTCTTGTGCTCTGATGCTTGCTTTGATTTTTTTTAAAGTTGCGCTGTTAGGGTTTAAGCTGGGGTTGGGGGTAGCCTCGGCCCTTTTCGGGCCTTCGGCGTGTCAGGGCCCGTAGAGGCCCTTATTTATTTTAAGGTCAGGGAAACCCTTTGTGTCTGCTCCTGGATTCCCCTTCTTTAAGGGCTTCAATTAAGCATCGATTTCTCTAATTTCAATCGCTAGGGTTTCAGCTCGGGTTCGGGGTAGCCTCGGCCCTTTTCGGGCCTTCGGCAAGTTAGGGCCCGTAGAGGCCCTTTTTTGCTTGAAGGCCTTCGCAGGGTTTTGCGGTGGTTTAAGCTGGGGTTCGGGGTAGCCTCGGCCCTTTTCGGGCCTTCGGCACGTTAGGGCCCGTAGAGGCCCTTATTTACTTGAAGGCCGTTGTAGGGTTTTGCGGTGTTAGGGTTTAGGTTGGGGTTCGGGGTAGCCTCGGTCCTTTTCGGGCCTTCGGCACGTCAGGGCCCGTAGAGGTCCTTGCTGATTTGGGGGGAGCCATCGATTTCAGTACTAAAAATGAACATTTTTCATTGCGGGCAGGGGTGCCTAAAACCATCGTTTTCAATATTCAAAAATTCGCATTTTTCATTGTGGGCACGGACAAATCTTGTGGTCCCCCTTCACCGAAGTGGGCCTTTTGAAGCTTTTGAAGCCTTTTGGTGGCTCTTAGCGCCTCTTGGGGGCTTCCGGCCGAGCCCTGGTTGGGGGGCCCTTGGCAGGGGTGATTGGGCAGGTGGAGTTCCGGGGCCCCTTGGCCGCCAGAGTCTTGGCCCAGAGCTTGGCCCTTAAAAAGCCATTGTGTCGGGGGGTTGGAAGGCCACTGGCCCTTGGTCCCGAAGCCCCCTGGCCCGGGGGCCCTTGACCCGGTCCTTGGGTGGAGAGCCCTTCGCCTGGGAGGGCCCATGGTCCTGGCCTTGGTTCTTGGTTGGGGGTTCTTTCTGATCGAGGCCTGGGTCGGGGCCCTTGGTCTGGGGGACCCTGGGCCTGTTGGCGGGCCCGGAAGGCTTGGCTCGCCCTTGGCGGGGGGCCCTTGGCCCGGGGGCCCTTGGCCCGGGCGGCCCTTGGCCCGGGAGGGGGGGGCCCGAAAATCTGCGAAAAAACCCCCAAAATCAGGAAATTGAGCAACCAGCCTGCCTGGACCCCTCGCCAGCCTCCTGGTCCAGGAATCCAGCCAGGGGGCCCCTGGGGGGGGGGCCGACAAACCCTGAACCCAAAGCTACGCTAAAGGTGGTCTGGGTGCCGGCCATCCCTTAGCCGAGTACTGACGTTGTCGTAAAAAAGGCCGATGTCCGTTGGCCTGTCCAGGACAGACGGTGAGGCTTAACCCTCACCTTTCCGTTTCTCTTTTCGCTTGGGCGCTCGGGCTGTAAGGCCCTCGGCCGAGCGTTCGGGGTCTGTCGCTCGACGGAAGCGACCCCTCACTTAGTTTAGGGTTTAGGGTTTAGGGTTTAGGGTTTAGGGTTTAGGGTTTAGGGTTTAGGGTTTAGGGTTTAGGGTTTAGGGTTTAGGGTTTAGGGTTTAGGCTGAAGAAACACCGAGCTGCAAACGGAGGGAGCGTCCAGCTCAAAGAGTGAGATGCAGCCTGCCCGCCCCATGTCCAGCTCCTACAGGATGCAGGGTAGGGGGGGGGGGGGGGGTTGAGGTTTAGGGTTTAGGGTTTAGGGTATAGGGTTTAGGGTTTAGGTTTTTTTTTGGGGGTTTAGGGTTTAGGGTTTAGGGTTTAGGGATTGAGTAGCTCGGGTTGTGTTACTTGCATCTAGTTATGGATCTCTTGGGCAACCGCCGGACCGCAAATCGAAGGCCTCTCACACCTCCATGTTTAACTCTTGGCACAGCCACAAACTGAAAAAAAAAAAAAAAACTCAGCAGCAGAGCGCCTCTTCAACGGGATTGCAGTGCATGCATAGACTTCCAGCAAGTCTATGGCGATCAGGTAATTTGGGTCCCTGCAACGCGCGGAACCCTTTCCCCTGACTCAGCATCAGGCTCCTGCCAGTACTCCGTTGAGTGCTTGTAGGTTTGCATCTCTTTGCAAAGGTTCCGAAACCTGCAGCGTAGGATCTCAGCTTGGGGTTTGCAGGCTTATGTTTTAGGATGTGTAGTTTTTGGGTTTGTCCTTGCAACCTGTGGAAACGCGCCGTTTCAACAGCACCAAACCCTAAATCCTAAACCCTGAACCTTAAACCCTAAGCCCCCAAAACCCCAAAGTCCCAACCCTAAACCCCAAATCCTCAACCCTAATACCCCAAATCCAGAACCCCTAAACCTTAAACCGGTTCAGTCTGGGTTCGGGCTGGTTTAGAGCCTTCCAGGCTTCGGTCTAGGACTTTGGTACTTGATATGCACGCTTCCCTCACCTTTGCCCAAGCCTTCTAGTAAGGCCCCAATAGGAACACTACTTAAAGAAGAGGACTGACAAAGTCCCCCAGACTTCTACTAGGCCAGAAAGGGGAACACTAGTGTCAGAGAAGCTGCCCATGTTGAGTTTAGGGTTTAGGGTTGAAGGTTTACGGTTTAGGGTTCTTGCTGCCCGATATTCAGGCCCTGGAGCTCAGGTGGGGAGCCCTATCTGCTGTCCAAGGCACTTGTGGAAAGGAACCAAGCGCGAGAGGCCGAAATGCCTGTGTAGGGTTTGGGGCTTAGGGAAGCTTAGGGTTTTTACGGTTTAGGGTTTAGGGGTTAGAGCCGAAAGGGCTATTTGGATTTGGAGGCTGAGGAGCAAGGATGACGGAGGGTTCAGGGCCTAGTGCCTCTTTTGAGCGCTAGTTAAAAACACCCCCCCCAGAAGAAAAACCAGCAAAGGGCGGTACGAAAAAGCATGACACTCGCGGGGAGAGGGAGGGTGGTGTTTTTGTGGTGGTCAGATTGTTGTGGTCTTGTGCTGGGCTTTCAGGCCCCGAGCAGATGTTGAAACATAAGCCCTGAACCCTCAACTTTGCACACCCTAAACCCTAAACCCTAAACCCTAAACCCTAAGTACCCCAAACGCCCTAAACCCTCATCTTGCGCCCAAGAACCGGCGCCACGCGCCCAGAGCCGACCCGAAGCGTCGGAGGAGGTGCTTCCTGGATTGGGGTTTAGGGTTTAGGGTTTAGGTTTGGGGTTTAGGGTTCAGGGTTGAGGGTCGGGAGCTGATTCATGGCCGGGGCTCCTAAACCCATTCTTGGCTTCAGGGTTTGGGCGTGTTGAACCCTACTAAAACCCCTACTTGAAGGCTCATGGTTTGTAGGGGGGCTTACGAAAATATAGACCCCCAAACAGAAGGAAGCCCTTATAGTAAGGACCTCAATAAGGTACCCCTAATATCGTAAAACCCCATACATGGTTCGACGTACCTTACTTAAGGCTATACTATAGGCTATCCCATGTATACAGTATAACCCTGCTTGCAAGTACCCGCGAACCTTCAAGTAGGTGGTTGACCTGTAGCCTCAAATCTTAAACCCCACAGCCCGAAAGCCCTCCTGAAATCACCCCCTAAATTCCCAGGCGCTGTTTGCATCCCTAAAACCCTAAACCCTAAACCCTAAACCCGAAGCCCTAAACCCTAAACCCTAAACCCTAAACCCTAAACCCTAAACCCTAAACCCTAAACCCCCGAAAGCCCTTCTGAAAACTGGCAGCCTGGGGGCTTGAAACTACGGAGGCCGTGGCTCATCCCAGGCGACTCCAGCACCTCTTCTCTTGGTTTTAGGGGTTGGGGTTTAGGGTTTAGGGTTTAGGGTTTAGGGTTTAGGGTTTAGGGTTTAGGGTTTAGGGTTTAGGGTTTAGGGTTTAGGGTTTAGGGTTTAGGGTTTAGGGTTTAGGGTTTAGGGTTTAGGGGGGTTTAGGGGGCTTTAGGGAGGTTTAGGGGGGTTTAGGGGGGGGTTCAGGTTTGGGGGCGACGGGTTTCGAGCTTAGAGCTAACCATAAGGTACATCCCCCTTGTAGCAACTTCTAGTAAGAACTCCCCCCTTTCAGAGAATCTTGAGAGCAACCCCCCCCCCCCCATCCTTTCCGCAGGTTCAGCCACATGTCACTTCTCAGGCCAGCACCCAGCGGCTGAGATGTTCCATGCACCGGGGGTGCTTGTTGGAGTAGTGCTTGGAGATCCTTGCAGGGGTTTGAACTCCTGGGGTTTTACCCGCAGGATTCCGGGGATAACCCAGGATTCCAAGGAGGTTGTCATGAAAGTCCCGCCGCTTTTTTTGTTGCACTTCCTCTCGAGCTAACCGCTAAGAACGTTGAGCCCGTGCCTTCTTTCAGTAGGAAAGCTCAACATGACGGCTTCCATAACCCCTAAACCCTAAACCCTGAACCCTCAACCCGCCCTGAAAACCCCCAAAGCTCAGCGGAGGCACTTCCCCAAGAGCTCTTGCATTACCGGCTCAGCCCTGGCTCGGGCGTTGTAGAAGTTGATCTCGTCCAAGCGAACTTCCTGGGAATTTTAGAGTGGGTTTAGGGTTCAGGGTTCAGGGTTTAAGGTTAGGGCTCGTAAGCCCTAACCCCAAACCCCAAACCCGAAACCCGAAACCCTAAACCCTAAACCCAAAACCCTAAACCCTAAACCCTACCCTTGCTCAGCGTTTGCGCCAGGCGGCGCACACGTGGGGCATGGGGCCATCTTCGGTCTCCACCTTTGGAGCCCAGGCATATGCTGAAGGTTCATGGGTATTTTCTTAGTAGGGTTACACGGGTTTAGGGTTTAGGGTTTAGGGTTTAGGGTTTAGGGTTTAGGGTTTAGGGTGTAGGTATACTTGAAGGTTCAGGGGTGTTGGTTTGTAGGGTCATAAGTAAGGCAGCCTATATATCATATGCCTTGATCACGGTCCCCTACCCCACTTAAAAGTAGCCATGAACATTGTCAAGTAGGGCTCAGCTTTCGACACCCTCACACTCGCATGCGGCAGGCAAGGCTTTGGTAGGTCCCGGCTTTCAGCATATGTTCGCCAGACCAGAGATAGCACACCCGCACACTAAGCAAGTCCCAGGCCAGCAGCTACTTGATGGCTCACAGGTAGTTATAGTAAGGTTACAAGCTCGGTACATAAAGTACTTGTCACCCTACTCATAACTACCCGTGAAGCTTCCCTTAAACCCTAAACCTTCAAGTAAGTCCGAGCCGAGTTGAACTTCGAGCCCACCCCCCCCCCCCCCCCAGTATGCCACTGTCCTGCCTCGAGGATCAGCAGAACCTCGACAAACCTGTCCCCCGTCCGGCATGGAGTCCTGTCCGGAATGGTTTAGGGTTTAGGGTTTAGGGTTTAGGGTTTAGGGTTTAGGGTTTAGGGTTTAGGGTTTAGGGTTTAGGGTTTAGGGTTTAGGGTTTAGGGCGCGAACTTCAGCTTGCAAAGCCTACCTGGAGGTTCATGGGTAGCTAGTAGAAATAGAAGTGCCCGAATTGAGGTTGCAATATAGGCTACTTTAATTCTAACCCTACTTAGAACTACCCATGAACCTTCAAGCATGAAAAGCTGGAAAGGGCGTTAGGCCTCAGAATGGTAAAGTAGATGCAAGCCGTGCCGCGGGTCCGAGCCACTAGCTTAGACACCGGAAAGCAACCGAGCCTGAATCCATTCCGGACATCCACCACCTGCAAGGGCAAGACTACAGCTGTTCTGGTTGCCGATTATTCTGTTTTTGATCGTGCAAATTATACGGTTGCCAAACACACACAGACACACAGACACGCAGACAGATATACATATATATATATATATATGTATGTATATATGGCTATAGTTAATATGGTTAATTGTTCTTCCTGAAACGGTGGATGGAAACATCTTCCACCACCGAACGTATATCTTCTAAACACACCGTCCGATCCCGACCCCGCACATCCCCGCACCCTCCTCGCTATTTCTGCAACGGTTCCTACTACTGTTACTGTCGCTATTTCGATTTACGGGTACTACTGTCGTTATGATCCATTCCTTTTTTGTAGCTAAGTGTTTTCCTACAGCTTGTGCAGCGCAGCTATTTCAAGATTTGCTGATTCAGCGCTTCGCCGTTTGCGCCGAAAGTGTCCTGGACCTCTGTCCGGAACAACAGTGCAGGCTGAGTGTACCAGACAGCCCTAGGTCCTAAACCCTCAACCCAAGCAAACCCAAACCCTAAACGGCCCTTTTTACTAAACGCCGTTCTCAATGTCAACGGCCTCGAACTGGTTGAGGATCAGGTCCAGGGCATCCTGCAAAAAGTCGCCTGCCAAGTGGTCATTCTTGCAGGCGAAAGAAGACACACTTCATGATTTGGGGCCCTATCAAATATAGCAGCAATAAGGTAGAAAAAAACCCTAAACCCTAAACCCTAAACCCTAAACCCTAAACCCTAAACCCTAAACCCTAAACCCTAAACCGCACCCGTACTGAAGACATGTGACATACGAACTCGGGGGGCTGAAGCCGGGAGCGCAAGCGACACACACTCGGCGGAGAGGAAAGAAAGTCTCCCCAAAACCCAACCTCCCCCCTCCCCCCCCCCCCACCTGCGCATCTGCATTGTTCCCACATCGTGCTGCCATAGTTCCCCAAACCCTGAGCCCCAAACCCTAAGCCCCAAACCCTTAGCCCCATACCCCAAACCTCAATCCCTCAAGCCCAAACCCTTGACTCGCTTCCTGGAGTCCCCAAATCACAAGCCCAAAACTCTAACGTGACCAGAAAAGGTTCAACAAGAAAAAGGAAACCCCAAGCAGAAGAGGCTGTAAAACGGGATGATAAAAAGGAGTTACAATGGTGTGTATATATATATATATAAATGTGTGTGATCGAAACCGGTGCATAATACCATACAATACGATATAGAATACTTTCTGAGAATACATAATACTACAAAAGTCGACAGTTATGACAGTTATGATCCTGAGCCAGACACGGTCTGAGAAAGAAAACCACACTAGGATTTCTTCACCCCTTGCACTGTCGGTGATAGTAGCAGCAAAGGTCAGAAACGACAAGCCCCCAGGTGAAGGGAGAGCCACAGGTGCGTGTTCCGCAGATTTTGTGTTTTTTTTTTTAACTGGAATCACCTTTTTTCGGGCGGAAGATTTAGTGTTTAGGGTTTAGGGTAAGAGGCAGGCGGAAAAAAAAAGAAGCAAAAACGCAAACTCACCTAGCTCCACCCTCGGGAACAAACTTTGTCCCCGCAGCGTCGGCTTAAGCCTTTAGATTAGCATGCGTATGTTCTTGTGTTGTCATAAATAAATAATTAAAATATATATATATATATACAAATAGATAGGTACACGATTAGATTGTTACACAGCTTCTTATCTCTTGCACCCGAGCAGCAGCTCGGAAAGACCAAACCGATCCGCGCCATGTCGAGCACATGACGGTACCTCGATTAAGTGAGGTCTGCTGCGAAGTCTTGGGTGGTTAGGGTTTAGGGTTTGCGGTTTAGGCGGCTGTGAAGTCTTGGGTAAGAATTTACATGAGTAAGAGTATGTACTGCTACAAGAACAGAATGTAGTAATGTTTTTTGCAGACTTCTCCGGGCTTCTCTCAAGCTGCTAGGGCCTTCCAGTTGTCTGGGCAGGCCGTTTTGCTCCAAGGCTCTCTCGTGTAACTAAGCCCAAAATCCTAAACCCTAAACCCGAAGTCACCGGCAAGCTGACAAGGTTCGATAATTTCCGGCTTTAACGAGCCTGCCTTCGCTTGTCCTCTGCAGGGCCGAAGCGCACCATGGCTTTCCTGAGCTGTTCGGGGGTGAAGACATAGCTGCGACATGCCAGGCGCAACTGAAATGGACCCCTCTTTTCTCATGGGCTTTAGGCCGGTAGAAGCCTCAGGATCGCAGTTCTGTAAAACTTCATGTATTCCATATATATATATATACATGTTCTATGCATATGTATATATATATATAACCATATGTTATCATATCCACCACCCTCAGAGAAGACGTGATGCAGGGCTGGCACCAAGCTTTGTCATTTTATGGGTAGAATGCTACCCCACATATTGAACCCGAAGCGGTTTCGAGTCAACATGTCCCCTACTGTACAGCGCGGGTTAACCCCATAAGTCCAGACCCGATGGTTCCCAAATCTATTCACCCCGAAATCCGAAACCCTTTGAACGCCGCAGCCCAGGGTCGTCTCGGCAGCCTGGCAAGATTTAGCTTCTAGGGACCCTTAAAGGGGCGTTGAGGACCAACCTTCTGCTTGCTACATGCACAAGTAGCTGCCTTGATACTGAGACCCGAAACCCCAAACCCGAAACCCTAAACCCCACACCCAGCCGCACTCTCATCCTCCAGCTATTTGGGCAGTTCTAGAAACGAGGGCACCATCCTGGGGTCCTATCAGGGGGTTGGGGCTTCGGGTTTAAACCTGTGAAAAAAATCCTGAAGATGATCCTCTTAAACCCAATGAGGGAAAATACAAAATGTCCCAAGGAGCTACCTAGTGAAGGGTTTTTAGGGTTTAGGCTTTAGGGTTGTGGAGAAGGCCTTGTCAAGCCAGCCAGGAAAACACCAGAGGCTGGAGAGTCTCGCGTAGTCGAACAACATGAAGAGTGCACCAGCCCTTATTCCCCAATGTATAACACATTATAACACCTATGCCCCGCGCCCACCGCCCCTCCCCCCGCCGATCCGGGCCTTTTCTCAACACCCTACACTCTAAAATCTTTGACCCCTAACATCCCAAAGCCCTTACCTACAACCCAAAACCCAAAAGAATCCTTCAACGGTACAGCGTAGGGGGGGCTAAGAAGGTACTCAACTTCCCTCATTCCATGCTCTAAGACCCAACTCTCACTACCAAGCACCTTCCCTAAACCCTAAACCCTAAACCCTAAACCCTAAACCCCAAACCCTAAACCCTACAAATCCTTTGCCTCCATGGACTTGACGCCATAGCTGTATGCAAAGCTGGCCATGGGCACCGCGCTCGGCTTGTGCCGCAACTCCCCCGGCCTGCAGGGGCTCTCGGCTTTTTGGGGAGTTGCTTTTGGGGTTTAGGGTTTAGGGTTTGGGGTTTAGGGTTTAGGGTTTGGGGTTTAGGGTTTGGGGTTGGAGTTTTTTTGGGGATTGGAGTCTTTGGGTTACTCGGCGACCTCCGGTTTGGGGTGCAGCGTTTTCGGGTCGTATTGTGGCGTGTGGCTCCTACTTGAAGGCGCTCCGAAAGCCAATTCCAAACTGCAAACCTGACAGCTACAGAAGCCTCCAGGCATGATCTTTGGGCGCGATGAGGCTTTCCAGCATGACCTGCAGCAGAAGGCGTATAGTAGTAGAATAGAACATTCGTATAATCGCATAATCGTATACTAGAATTCCCTAACCATAGTATAATCGTATAATGGTATAAAAGCATAATGGTATGATAGTATAATCGTATAATTTCCTAATTACAATTTAATACCTTAATAATTTATGAATTTAATATTACCACTGTATAAGCGGGGGGCGGGGAGGCCGATGGCATTTACGGCATAGGGTTTAGGGAAGTGTCTGGCCCGAAATTCACTGTAAGGTTCACTTGCTTCTGAGTTCGCCTCTGTCAAGAAGAGCACCCACACACACATATAAAAATAAATAAATAAATAAATATATATATATATATATATATATATATTAATATATATATACATCTACATATATATATATACACATATAAATGTATACATACATAGATATAAATACTTGTACATTTTTGTTCAATCACGCTTATACCTACTTCACGTACATTTTTTCTACCGGACAAGGTGAGTGTTGCGAACGGCTCTGCAATGACAAATATCACCACAAGGCTACGTAGATGTCTCCTTTCAGCTGCTGTAGCTACACCTGAGCGTTGTTGAGACAAACTTCTTAGAAGTTAGAATATTCAGCAACTGTCGTGTCATGGCCACTGGCAGAGGTGCGAGCCTGGGCTTTCTCAGCAGTCACCTTGAGAAGGTCAAAACGTGGGCATGGGGACCCTTTGCTGGTTCAGGTTTTGGGGGCCCTAAATAACCGTACACCCTAAACCCCATAAACATATTAAAAAAGCACGAAGCCGTGGCCTTGTAAGGATGATATTACTGATATAGGGGACTAAGGGTTAAACAAAGAAACGAAAAATGATGTTCAAACCTAGCCCTGTCCAAGTTTCCCTAAGCCCGTGAGCGTTTTGCAGGCTTGGAGGTTAGGAACAAGGATGGCCACAAGCTCGACAAGTTACAGTGGTGTGCATGTTGAGGGATGTTGAGGGTAAGCCTAAACCCTAAACCCTAGCTGCACCCCCCCACTACCCTTGAATAAACGGAACTTATATACCGTACTATTATGGTTACAGGTTAGTTGGCGGGTGCCCCTAAACCCTAAACCCTAAACCCTAAACCCTAAACCCTAAACCCTAAACCCTAAACCCTAAACCCTAAACCCTAAACCCTAAACCCTAAACCCTCACCATCATATGGAAACCTTGCAGGGCCTCGGAACCCGAAGCTCAACCCACCCGAGGCACATGGAGCTGCTCAAGCTCATCCTGCACCTGCGACGAGGGCCTATACTGATCTTGGAACCCTAGCAGAAATTATGATTTTAGCTGTTTCTTAGGAATTATAGTACCAAAAAAATAGAACAAACTATGATTTTTGCTGTTTCTTAGGAATTATAGTATCCAAAAATTAGAAGCTATTCCCGAAAGTCCCTAAGGCAAGGGTTTGAGAGGCCCGTTTAGGGTTTAGGGTTTGGGGTTTAGGGTTGAGGGGCTTGGAGTTTAGGGGTTTGGGGGTTGAGGGGGTTTGGGGTTTAGGGCTTAGGGGTTGGAGTTTAGGGTTTAGGGCTTGGAGATTAGGGTCTAGGGGTTCGGGGTTTAGGTAGTTGGAGGTGAGGGTTTATGTAGGGTTTCGATAAAGGCGCCTAAGTAGTCTGCCAGGCTTTTAAGGGCTCTAGAGGGGGTTCAGAGTGCTAATCTGTGGCTGTGTGAGTGCCGGGTCGGTACCCCGGCAGACTTCCCTGAGGCCAAGGGGGGGGGGGGGGGGGTTGCTTGAACTTTCCTGTGTTTGTGAACTACTGGTCCAAGTTGATTGCAGGGTGGGTTGCTGCCTGCAGATTGGGAGGCAGTCTGCGTCTGGCGCCGCGGCTCCGTGCAGAGTTGTGTGATGGTGCTTGTGAGTGGCCTTTTCTGGCCTGTACCAAATCGGCCTCCTCGATCAGCCATTGCTCTGCCAATGCGCCAAGCGATGCTAGACTTCCCTACTCAAATCCCCCAAAACCCCCAACAAAAACCACTCAACCTTAAAGCTCTGCATTAAAAACTACTTCTCTGAACCCCAACACCCAAAACCCAAAACCCAAAACCCAAAACCCAAAACCCTAAACCCAAAACCCTAAACCCAAAACCCAAAACCCTAACCCAAAACCCTAAACCGAAAAGGAAATAAACTCCGGGCCCGCTGACCTGGCGTATGGGGCCTGGCTCTGTCAGCGTCTCCCAGCCCACCGAGTCGGGGAGCAGGTTTCCTGGCTTTTTAGTGGCTTCGGTTTAGGGTTTCGGGTTTAGGGTTTAGGGGTTAGGGGTAAGGGGTTGGGGTTTCGTCGCTCACTCTCGCACAAGGCAGGCAAGGTCCGTCGGTTTGGGGTTTGGGGTTCAGGAACGGTTTAGGGGTTGAGCGTTGAGGGTGCAGGCGTGGCAAGGGGACATGATGGCCGAACTCACGAAGACGATCCAGGCTTTCCCTTAAAAAAGCAGAACATTCTCATTCTGATCCTCTTAGGGTTTAGGGTTGAGCGTTCTCTTGGATCCAAGAAGAGCAATATCAAATAATATACCAAGGGCCTACTGTCCCTAGCTAGAGTGTGCGTCGAACTTTAGTGAGCAAGAAATAATATACCGATCGCGCACGAAACCCTAAGCTAAACCCTGGACACAGTGATTCTGCAGGAAAAAAACACACCTGAGGGTTTAGGGCTGCTGGGTTTTTGCCACCCGCATGGCTGAACCGACGATCACATTTGGGGCTTTAGGGCTTTTGCGTTGAACCTCCCAAAGCATCACAAAACAGCAGGGGCCTGGACGAAGACCCCTTAGAAAAGCCCAGAGGGTCCAAATACGCTCTAGTTTCAGGTCTCAAAAACCATAATCGTAAGGGTTTTCGGTCCCAAACCATAATTCCCAAGAGTTTTGGGCCTTTAAAACCATGACTATAGGGTATTTGAACCATCTGGGAACTTCAACAGACACCAAAGGCCGTGCGCGAGCAGACGGCGCTCCTGTACAAGGGCCAGAAGCTTTGCTAAGCTTGCCGGGCCTCCTAGGCTTTGGTTAACTACTTCATGGTTGGGATAGTATTAAAATCTACATGTCTATTCCTTATTGAGTTTAAGTACCCTTAGAAATGATGTTACCCCACTGTGACAAAGTTCAGGAATCGTAACTTCCTTACGACCTTTAAGCATGCCAGAGGCTCCATCCGGGTAGAGGCGCTGTGAGGGCCGACTGGCTAGGCTGCTGAAGCCGTCAAGCTTCGTGCACTGCGTCAGGGCCTGGCAAGGCGCGTGGGGTTGTTCAGGGCTTAGGGCTTCGGGCTTAGGGCTTAGGGCTTCGGGAGTAGGGCTTAGGGCATAGGGGTTAGGGCTTAGGGCTTAGTGCTTCGGGCTTAGGGTTTAGGGTGGTTAGGGTTTAGCGTTTAGGGTTTAGGGTTTAGGGTCTAGGGTTTAAGGTTTACTGCTTAGGGTCGTTCCAGGTGGGGGTTGCTTCAAAGGCGTAGCCGAGCTTCACGTTATGTGTACACTCTTGTGCCAGCCGCTCGCAAGAAGATGGGATCTGAACATTACGATGCGTGCGGAAGCTTCTGCTCCAAGGGCGCCGCAAGACTGCCTCAAGCTCAAGCACCATAACCGAAGGAACAACTGTTGTCAAAACCCTAAACCCCAAACCCCAAACCCTAAACCCTAAACCCTAAACCCTAAACCCTAAACCCTAAACCCTAAACCCTAAACCCTAAAGCCTAAACCCGACAGTAAGCACCCCGTTTCTTCCGGTGGTGGGCCTGTTTTGGCCTGAAAAGGGTGCAGGGCTTCGGGGTTTCGGGCGTTTAGGGCTTATAGGGGTTATAGGTGTTACAGGACTTAGGGTAGAAGCGATGCCAAGAAGTCCTTGTAGAGTTTGCAGGGCTTTTGCGGGTGGGCTGGTGTTCGGGTTTTAGACCTTGATGAGACCCTTTAAGCGCACTTTCCTCCATCAAAACCCTGAAGCCTTGAAAGCCCTTGACACCTGAAACCCTGAAACCCTGAAACCCTGAAAAACTCCAGAACTAGGGGGCAGCGGGGAGGGCGGGGGGAGCGGGAAGGGCGGGGGCAGCAAGGGCAGCGAGGAGGAGGCTCGGGCATGCACTGGAGCCCTGAAACCCTGAAACCCTGAAACCCTGAAACCCTCATACCCTGAAACCCTCATACCCTGAAACCCTGAAACTCTGAACCCTAAGCCCTCAAACCCTCAATCCCCCAACGCCTTTGCACAAGGCTTGTCAAGGTCAGCAAATGCATGGTTCATGGGTGCCCCTACTACCGAACCCTAAGCCCCAAACCGCAAACCCTAAACCCTAATGGTATTAAGCCTAATTGAGGTTTGGGGGGGCGGGGGTGGGGGGGGAAGTAGCCCTAAACCCTAACCCTAAACCCTGAACCCTAAACCCTAAACCCTAAACCCTAAACCCTAAACCCAAAGAGGGGGGGGAACCCATGCATGGTGCAAGTCAGCGGCCTTTTTGTCGGACTTCGAGCCGGCAACCGCAGGGCGGCGGTCTAAGGGCTACTGGTAAGTTCCTTAATTAAGGTTTAGGGTTTAGGGTTTAGGGTTTAGGGTTTAGGGTTTAGGGTTTAGGGTTTAGGGTTTAGGGTTTAGGGTTTAGGGTTTAGGGTTTAGTGTTTAGGGTTTAGGGTTTAGGGCTACTTGAAGGTTCATTGGCTGTTAGATGTTGGGTAAGAAGTACTGTCAAAATGGCTATAACATAGTTTTGACATGGACTACCCATGAACCTTCAAGTAAACCCTAACTATGGTGACCTTTTGTAATTCTTTTGCTTGCCGGCCGCCAAACCCTAAACCCTTTTTGCAACTGGGACTTGACCCTAAACCCTAAACCTTCTCCAAATCCAGATCCCTAGACCCGGCGTCTGGAGCGAGATCTAGCAGATCTCGCAGGTCCGGCGACGTCCTTGATGCCTTGGTAGCCCCGTAACCATCTATTACGATAAGGGCACCCTTTTTGGGGGGCTGGGTTACTTTATAAGGGCACCCAAACCCCCCCCCGCCCCCCCCCCCCCCCCCCCCAAAAAAAAAAAGGAAAAGGAAAAGGCAACCTTTTTTTGGGTTGGCTACTTTATACGGGAACCCAGAAACCCAAAAACGGGAAAAGGCTACCACTGGGCCATCAAGATACTGCGGATGGAGCGCCGCCGCGGGTCGCCAGCCCTGAAGTCGTCCTTTTGGCATTGGGGGCAGCGGCGCAAGTTTGCCTGGTCACTAAAACCTTGGTGGCCCAGGAACCATGTTCTAGTAAGGGTACCCTTCTTTGGTTTTGGGTACTTTTTAAGGGAGCCTTGAACCAACAGAAGGGAAAAGGGTACTGCTGGGCTAGCAAGAAACGAAGCTGGGTGTAGCAGTCTTCGCAAACGACGCGCTTCTCGCAGCAGAACGTCTTGAAGAGCTTCTTTGTCTCGTCAAAGCAAACGATGCAGTGGTCTGAGCTTGCAGCGTCACCTAATACTTCTCAAAAGCCCGAAGCACCACTTGAAGGTTCAGGAGCTATACGTAAAGTAACCTATACCATAGCTTTAATTAACAGACTTGTAACCCTACTTGGGCATATCCCGACATGTATTTTCCCTCCAAAATAGTACAATCCTTATTCTAGGAACCCCCCTACCCCTTTCGGAAACCCCCACTTCCTACTACCCATGAACCTTCAGGTAGCTGCCTGTCGTATGCGAAGGGAGTTTTACGAAAATGAGGGACCCCGATAATGGACCCCCCCCAAATAGTAGGATTTCCTTTTCATAAGGACCCAATTTCAATAAGGTGCCCCTAATTTCGGAAACCCCCCGAAGAACGTCTCTGCCCATTTTGTCACGAGCGGCCTCCTAAGGAGAAGCTCTGCCTCATCTTAAGGAGCTCTCTCACCACGTCGTTCAGCCTTGGTCGCCCCGGCCCAGAACCATCTACTAGGAAAGGTACCCATTTTGCGGCTTTAGAAGGGAACCTTGAATTCCCTCCCCCCCCCCCCCCCCACCCCCCCCAAGAAAAAAAAAGAAACCAAGAAAAGGAAACGGGTACCACTAGGCTGCCAGGCCGCTTCGTCCGGAGGGCTTCTTCTGTCTTGTGACCCGGCGCCAGACGGTGCCGCAGCTGGGCCAAGAACCTGAGGCATCATAGGGGGCCGGAATAGTTAGGATCGAGCTTGTATAGTTACAAAGGGACCATAAGGGAATATTAACGGAAATTACTCCGGCCCTATATTAGTCTCAGGCAGATTCAGACGTCTCTATCAGACTCTATCAACACCGCGTAATGCAGCGTTTAGGTTGGGATGTTCCCCCTCATACTAACAGTTCTCTATAATCCCTATTAAGGACTGTTAGTATAGGGGGGAACATCCGAACGTTTAGGCTCCACGCGATGTCATAAAGAAAAAGAGACACACAAAAACAAAGGCCCCCGACCAAGCATAACAGAATCGAGGGATATGCCCACTGGATGTCATCATTTTGCTCGAATGAGCCCCAACCCGACACCTCGCCAGGATGGGCTACTATAAACCCTAAACCCTAAACCCTAAACCCTATGCGGAGCTGCTGCTGGTATTGTAGAAAAGAGTTAGTGTTGGGAGTTGAAAGGGTTAACAAACCCGGAAATCATGTTTGGCTCAAGGCTCAAGACCCTGGGCAATGCGCCCTACAGAAAAGGTGTGTTTGGTTGTTCTTTGGGTTTTGTTGTTGGTTGTTCCAGGGGAATCAAGGGTTTCTGTTGGGGTTGACTGTTTGGTTTCTCGTCCCCCTTCGGTTGCCCCCCGAAGGTTATGAGCCCAAATTAGGCTCCCTGTGGGTTGGTTAAGATTTTATCTTTGTTTGGTGCCATGGATATGATGCGGCGTCGATCTGAACCTGGACCATTATCGGCGGCCAATGATGCCGAAGAAAATCGTGGTGATGGGGGTGAAGAACGACAACAAATGGTACAAGCGCTGACAGATGGTAGGGAGGTTGCAATGATACAACCAACGTCTCAGGTGGAAAACGAAGTGGTCCGGTTCCAGCAGCGAATCCTTTCTGGAGCGAGCGGGCTCATGAAGAAATGAGACTGAGGCAATCAAGGCCAGCAAGTCTCCCTGCGAGCGGAGGGGATAGAAGTGGTGAAGAAACAAGAAGGCCACCGTCGTTGCCAGAACTTCGGGATCGGGAACCTGTCCCAGCTGAGAGGCCATCGTCAGGTTTGATGGGCCAGATGGAAAGAGGTAATATTGGTGAGACACAAGGCGAGGAAGAGCTTATTCCTGATCTGAGTGGTGAAGAACAAGGTGAAGATATGGCGGTGGTAAAGCGTGCGCTGAAAGAGTTGCTTGTGCAAACAAAGGAGCTGGGGAACAGGTTGCATCGGGTGGAGGAGAAAAGCTATACCTCTGCTGCATCTGGGTCAGCTTCGAGAGCACGGAGCACTGGAGTGGTGGACGCAAATGCTGCATATCCTTTGGGAATGACTCCAGAGAAGCAGTACCTGCCAGGACAAGTTTTCTACACTGATGGTATGGGTGGTTTCTGGACTGTGTTGCCTGATGGGACATGGCTGCCGATTGAGGGCTACGACCTCCCAAAGGGTTGTGACCTTCAACCCTTGCCTGAGCCCAGAAAAGGGGATGTTCACGTGGAGGATGAGAAAGAAGTGCCAATGATGCACGTCACTGAAGGGAAGAAACCCTCCAGATTGCCTCCATTGAATTACCCCATGGGAGGTTCTGCAAGTGGTGGATATGCAAGTGGACCACCTGGTTTAACACATGTTCCGATTACTTCCTTGCCATCAGGCGTTGATGGTTCTGCCGCACTGTTGGGAAATCAGCCCGGTTTTGTTTCAGCTCGGGAAACTTCAACGCAAGAGAACTCAGCAGGATCGGGTGGATATACAATGGTAGATGATGTTCCATATCGGTGGAAAATGATTGCTGGGAAGTTGGAATTAGAAAAGGTTCCGCTCACAGTTTTTACGCCCGGAATGGGACATGGACTGCCTCAAGGGCCTGGTGGAAGGGTCAGCTTACCTCCTGGAGCGGTGGTGCCACGTGGTATGCCAAACATTGGTGATAGTTCTGGAACTGAACGTCCGGAGGCTCTTGGGAAGCATGTGATGAGCCTTCCTACTTTGGCAGACTACACACCAAGCAATCCGACGGCACTAGGGGATTGGATCGCAATGATCGAACCAATGTTGTCTTCGCTGACAGATACAGGAAGAGTGTGGTGGCAATCCGTCTATACAAAGGCGTATGAGGCGTACGCCAAATGGTTGAGTGTCTCTCCGCTGGAAAGGTTGGGCATCAAGGCTGAGCTGGAAGGGCTCAAGGGGGTTCGAACTGTGCATGTTTTGTTGGAGCAGAGAGCGGTGTCTTTGCTGCTACAGGCGATTCCGGAGAGATTGAAGACCGAGATCGTTTCCACTCGAATGTTGGGGTCGGTGATGATATTTTACAAGTTGCTGACAGTTTACCAACCAGGTGGAGCAAACGAGCGCAGCACAATGTTAAACTTCTTGGTGCAACCATCCTCAGCAACCTCGATCTCAGAGGCTATTAAGGGAGTGCGACAATGGGCGCAATGGCGTTCCCGGTTAAGGGAGCTGCGAGCATCCGAGCCGGATGCTACCTTGCTTATCAAGGGATTGGATGCTTTATCATCCGCGTTGCTGGCAAAACACCCTACGGTGCATTTCAGAGTGGCATCCTTCCGGGAGAAATTGGGGGTGGACTACTCGCCGACCTCTGAAACTGCGACACAACTAGCTGAAATGTTACAAGCAGAATTCGAACTGCTATTGCATAGCGCTGGTGAACAAGAGGTGAAGCAGGACTCGGACGCCAAGAAAAGGGCCAGGTTAAACAAGGCCCAAAAGGGAACTGGTGACGAGACGGAGGAGGGTGACAAAGGCAAAGGGAAAGGAAAAAGGTACAGCGGAGATGGTGAACGTCCTTTCTGTTGGATATATGGGAAGACAGAAGCAGGCTGCAAGTTCGGATCACGTTGCAAATTTCGCCATGACAAGGACTCCCTGGAGCGTGGAAGATGTTTTGAATGTGGGGCCGTTGGCCATTTACAGCCGCAGTGTCCATACAAAGATGGTGTAAGTTCCAATGCGGACTCAAATCCTGAAAGGAATAGATCTAAAGGGAATTCTCCCAAAGGGGGAAAGGGCGGCAAAGGTGCAAAATGGGGAAATGCCAAAAAGGCAGAAGTGGCTGAAGTGGGAGATGAGACGGCTAATGCGGGATTGGATAAAGGTTCTGCAAGTCCCTCATCACCATCAACACCCAATCAGGTCCTTGCTGAAGCGTTAGAAGTGCTGAAATCTATGAAGCTGTCATCAGCGCAGTCAGCATCAAGCGGGGATCCCAGTGTTCGAATGTTATGTGACTCTGGATTATTTCAGCAGGAAGGGAGAGTGGCGTTGGTGGATACAGCTGCTACGCATCTTGTGCGGACGCTTTTTCCATGGGAATGTTTACCCGACACTACTGTTATGGTGCAAAGCGCGCTTGGTGGTGTGACAATGAGGATTACAGAGAAAGGGACGTTGATTAGGGAAGACAATGGGCCCCTGATTATCCCTCTCTGGTTGATTTTGGAGTTTGGGGCGAACCTCACCGTGATCAATGGGATGTGTCACGTGAGTGCAAAATCTTCGCTGGACCAACTCTTATGGTTTGAACATGGCTGTTTGGTTATGGATTACAAAACAGCTGAGAAAATGGTTTTGCATGCTGAAAGGCAGCGTGCGTCTTTGTCCCATTCTCAATGGAGGAATGGAAGGGCGGACTGTGGAGTCGGTTCGTCTGATGCCACGTTGTTGCCGAAGCAGGGAGAAGGCCGAGGAGTATGCGTTCTACATGTGGCCAGGGTTTCTGACACCAATGAGTGTTCGGGAATGGGCATGTTGGACTCGGGAGCATCACATCCTCTCAGATCACTTCGTCCTGGTGAACAGCTTCCGCAGCAAAAGGTGTTGGTGTCTTTAGCTGTTGGATCTCGGGAGATGTGTATTACCCCAGGTGGGACCCTGGTAACTCCTGAAATGGTAGATCCACTAGTGCCAATTGGCAAAGCGAGCGCCTTGGTTGGTCTCAGAGTTCAGTGGCGTGGTGGCAAGTGCACAGCCTCACATCCTGTTCTGGGAGAACTTCGCGTTCGTGATCTGAATGGGTGCCCTTGTTTGGAAAAGGAGGTGGCGCTTCAGATCATTGATGAAATGGATTGGTGTTCACCAAAGCAAGCATTGAAGGTGGCACGTATGGTTCAAGGGTGTCCGAATACGGACAACGAGGTGGCTGTAAAAGCGTCGTTGCAAAGCGCAGCGCGGACAGCGTCAGCGAATGAGGAGGAGTTCGTCCAGGCATGCTGGCGATTTCTTCGGTGGTATTATGGGGATATACCAGAAAATATGCTGATGGAGCTGTTGCCACGTGGAGATATTGCGGCGTTGCCTTTCAACCGTCATAAAAGGAGACGGCTGGCACGAGCAAAAAGGGTGGTGGTACACCTATTTTCGGGAAAACAAAAATGGCATTTTCCCAGTCGGGATGTGGAGGTACTGGAGCTGGATTTGAAGAAAGGCGGTGACCTACATAATTCGAGCGTCTGGAAGTATCTTCTGCATCTGGCGGCTGAAGGAAAGGTGGTTGCTGTGGTTGGAGGACCTCCATGCAGGACAGTGTCAAGGTTGAGAGGTGAAGACGGTGGTCCACCTGTATTACGCCGACGCTGTGGGCCTGAACGGTTGGGATTAAAGAGTCTTCCTTGGCCACATCAAGAATTAGCTCAAAAGGATGGTGTTTTACTTCTGAAGATGCTTTTCCTATATG